GATCCCAACCACCAGTGCATTCCAAAAACCACGACAACGTCCTTGACGGCTGGGAGCGGGGGGGGGGGGGCGCGGGGTGTGCGGCCCCGTTACTCCAGATAGACATTCGCCTTGGAAACAAAATCGGGGGGGGGGGGGAGGGAGGGAGAGGAGGAAACCCCCGCAATCAATCGCAACGAGCACTCAAATCAGAGATGACCGGCATCTCCCCCCCCCCAACTTGCTTCTAATTCTAAGAAATAACATTTTTGAATGCCCCTCTTTTGAACCAAACAAATATGGAATATTCCACCACCGCAGCCCCCCCCCCCCCACTCCTTCAATAAATGGATGATTTAAAGCCCATTTAGAGGTTGCAATTCTGAAGGACAACATTTTTTGGGCCAAGGTTTCTCGAAATCCAGCTCTCGCGCCCCCCCCCACCACCAACCACTGCTGCCCACACCCCAGGCCGCCGTTTTAAACGCCGGGCCAATATTTTACATCTGGATGTAAACGTCAAGTGCGATCGGCCACAAATGAAAACTCGGCGCGTCGGGGAGGGCAGGCGAGAAATATCATTGTTTAATATATCATATTAGGTTTGTGTGTGGGTTAGATCGCGTAAATATATAAATGTGTCGCTAAAACCCGCCACCACCCGACGCAGCCAATTAGTAAGGGTTGTCACGTCAACAGAACGTGGCCAATTCGTCACTAGTACAGCACTAACCGGTGTGTTGGAGAGTAAATCCGCAACATTCACAATCTGAGCACGACGTTTCGCCAGTAATTACAACCAGCTTCATCAGGCGACAGCCAGATTCGTCTTGTCGCAACCCATGATTGTCAGGCCCGACGTGCAGCGCTGTCCAGCACGTCAACAACAACAACAACAGCAGCAACAACTGCGACGTTTGAAAAGCAAGCGCTCAACTTTCTTCCGAACTGATGTTTTGTTGTTGTGTGTTAGTTTGTTGAGAGTGTCCCCTCTTCCCCACTGCCAACCTCCCTCGCCGGCACCTCCGATTAGCCACTGTTGCCTTATGCACGGACGCAAAAGAATAAGTTCAACGTAGATACACAAACAGAAACAATTAACGGACGGCTAAAACGTATATATATATTTTTTAAAAAAAAAATCTTGGCAAGCGATCTTCGACGTGCAACGCCAGGCGCTTGTCTCCAAACCCGGAGAGAACTTCCCTCGGGGAACACAAATTCAGTTTTTGGCCACGAAAGCAGTCCCCCCCCCCACCCCCCGCGCAGTAGTAAGCAGTAGCACGAGGACGTAACAACATTCACCACGCAACCCACTGGACGCATCGCCTTGTCGATACCGCACGTACGCGCACACGCGCCGATCACATTGAAGAAAATGTCGAGCCGCCGTTTGGCACACCGTGTCGAAAAAGTCAAAACGCCTCCCTCCCCCCTCAACCCACTAAAAAAAAATGCACAGTGTTCCGCTTTAAAGTTAATCAATCGCTGAACTTTTTTTTGCGACGAATGTTTTTGTGTGTGTGTTAGTTAGTTAGTTAAATAAGGCTTTTAAATAGCAACAGCAACAAAAAAAAAGGTAAGCGTTAGAAATATAGACACATAATTAGACCGGGGTCGGGGAACATTATGGCCTGTGATCTACCACCTCAAAGACAACCCCCCCCCCGCCCTCCGCAGAACAATATTTATCCATCGCTGCGAGCAATCTTGGCCACACTACATCAGGGTGCTAGAGGGGACTGACGGTGGTGGGAACCCGCGCAACGACCGCTCTTATTTCAGGGCCCTAGTGGCACTGCGAGGGCCCCTCTCTCAGTGACACATGCGGAGGCTAGGTGAGGGTTTTCCCCGGTCGTCACTTGCGCCCCCCACCCCTAAGTAAGGAAGAAGAGAGGAGGTTTCCTCCGGCACCACCCCCCTCCCCCCCATCCTCTCCCCACGTCCCTAGACTAAAAAATAAAAACTTTGTACACAAAATCTTCGCACGGCTGCGGATGCCACGGAGACGCGAGGCGAATCAGACAGCGACGAATTCACAGGAAACAGCTCCAGCGGTGGCCTTTTTTCTTTGCAGGCAAAGCCTGAACAGGGCCACGAACTTTTAACAACAACAAAAACAATACCACGAGATGCTGTATATTCAAACAATTAATAATTACGCACGTTTTTTTTTCTAAGAGCAGTCCACAAATGACGAGTGCAGTGTATGACATTCATCCAAACGTTTTCAAATCAAGATTGTTTTCACGAATAAAGTAAAAAAGAAACTCGCCACAAATGACTCAGGAGTGTTTTGCTTGTCATTTGCAGTCTACTTGAGTTATTTTACTGTCATAAAATAAACATTTTGACGGTACGGAAATACTCGCTAGCAGGGATAGTCAAGTATTCTTAAAAAAAATACTATTTTTAATTTTTACCAATAAAGTCCCACTTTGTAGTTCTTTTTCAGAAGCGACCTGGGCACAAATGATAACAAAGTTGCCTAAGGTGTGGATATTTTTAACAGCCAAATACTCCGAACGCACGTTGATTCTAAAATGTGGAGGTAAAAAAATAACGGAGGACCTGGAGAAAAATTCCACGCGACCACGGGGAGAACGCGCAGACTCCAAATATACAGCAGCAGGCGTCAGGGTTGGAATCGAAGCCACGAGCATCCTGTACACGAAGGCGAGGTAGTTAACATCTCGCCACCGTGATGAGAAGTGGGAACCCTCTGGCGTGAGTCCACGTTTGTCCTCAATCCCCGTGGGTCCCCCAGAGAAGATCCCTTTTACAGCCCCTTGCTTTTGGAAGAACTCTCGACGAGGGACGCCAAAAGATCGCCAAAAAAGGTGAAAAGCATCCGTCGCGAGGATCATCAACACTCGTCTTCTATGGATGACCCGTGAAGGCAAACCGCGCTGAGAACGCGATGAAGGATCGTGGTCGCCAGCGACAATGCCGTTGGTGGAGCAAAGGAAACCCACGGGGAACGTGAGCAGTGCGCGTCGCGGGGAAATGCGTCGGCCGGAGAGGGATTGGCAGAATTTACTTTCACGGAGTTGGGAAGGGGGTGGAAAAAAAAACCGAGGGGCGGACAGCGGAAAGGGATGGCGGAGATGAAAGCGTACAAATTCGGAGGCCACTCGCGTGGACAAGGAGCGTCATAAAAGGTGGAGAAAATGGAACAATAAAAGTGGACCAGCAAGTTACAGGCCGACGACAACTTGGATGGACGGCATAACGAGTCCCTGGCATGGACATTTGGTAAATTTTGATTTAAAAGCACGATGGATTTAGTTTGAGAAAAAAATCAACATTGCATCTTGAGGTTAGGTTGTAGGTTTCTTTTAAATTATCCTCAGGTGGATTAGATGCAGACAGAGGATGGGGGGGAGGAAGGGGGCAGAGGATGTTGGTGATGTCACACCAAACAAGCAGGCGATCTATTTTTCGCCCGGAAAATACACGGGGCTTCATAACCTCCAATGACGCACAGACCAGACTCAGCACGCACGAGAGATAATTGCACGCGGTAATCTTGGGTTTTGCACAAAGTCTGCGCAGTTTTTTTAAGCTCTCCTATCCGTGGGCTGTCATTTCAACCCTTTTCATTGGACGGATTTGGGTTCCCAAATCCGTCCAATTCCAACGGCTAAAAACGTATTACGTTTTTGTTTAAATCTAAAATAATTCGCATTCCGCTAATTATACGACAACGCCCGAGTCTTGAGACTCAGTTTCAGGAGGGTCATGTTTTGTGTGCGTGGCCAATTCTTTTTGCCATTGTATATTTTTAGTGCAGTAGGAAATCAGAAGGACAAAGAGCAACCCCACATATGCAGTGCATGAGACTCTAAACTAAACTATTTTTTTTTATTTTACAATGGCCCACTGAGCTATATGGCTCTTATTTTTCAGTAGCGATGTGGCCACAAATGATAGCTCAACGAAGTGGCTTATCACGTGGAAATGTATAGCAGGAAAATACTCCACATGCGCGACTGTCTGTTCTAAAATGTGGAGGGAAAAATTGGAGGAACTGGAGAAAAATCCACGCGACCACGGGGAGAAAGGACACGCAAACTCCAAATTATACAGCAGGCATCAGGGTCGGGTTCGAACCCACGACCTCCTGTATAGCAGGCGAGGTATTTCACATCTCCTGGCCACCCTGGCACCTACTCAACCGGATTAGCTTCACACGTAGTAGGCTTTTGCGACCAATATTCATAAGAAGTTTTTTTGGGTTCGATCGCGTAAATATCTAAATGTGTCGTCAAACCCGCCACCACACAAAACAGCCAACAAGTAAGGATTGTCACGTAAACAGAACATGCCCTCACCCCCCACTTTGCGCAAGAGCGCAGAAGCGTGGTCACCACATCTACGCCTCGATACAAGGAACTGAACAGGTGGACTTCTCCACAAATCTGATGAAGCTCGTTGTAATTACTGGCGAAACGTCGTACTCAGATTGTAAATGCTGTGGCTTGGCTCTCCAACACACCGGTTAGTGCTGTACTAGTGACGAATTGGCCACGTTCTGTTTACGTGACATCCCTTACTAGTTGGCTGTGTCGGGTGGTGGCGGGTTTAACGACACATTTATATATTTACGCGATCTAACCCAAAAAGAAAACTCTATTATCAACCGGATTACTCCCGCGGTTTGTAATCAACGATGAGACGCCTTCTTCACAGTGTCCGTTACAGAAACCCGCCGCCGTCGCCCGCGAGAGTGGACTGTCGCGCCGCGCGCCGGCGTCATCGTGCACATTAAAGCCAAATTCGAAAATCGTTACCGCACCTTAACTCAATTGGGATTACACACACCTACCAGACTAATGGCCCAGGTGGCTCTTGCAACTAAGACCATCCTGGTCTAACGAGCTCTCACCCAGGTCCAACCACGACAAACTAGAACTACCCACTTCACCAGTTCACATGCCAAAACCTACTTGCTGTACTTGCCTCTCACCAGGCGCCATACCTGCATGATCCACCAACCCCTGCAGTTTTTTTCTTTTCTATTTTGCGACTCTCTCAAGTTGCCCTGTTCACATTCTGCCGATTGCATCTTCCCGCCGACCCTTTGACGCCTCGCCTGCAAACAAAAGGAGGTCACCGGCCCGTTGGGAAAGTGGCATCCTTCTGTTGTGCGGCCCAGGGGTCACTCGAAGACATCTCAGAAGCAGCTCTGGGATATCCGCTTCCGTGGGGCCGCTTCTCTAATACGAAGGGCTGCACTGCTCTGAAAGCGTTGCAAATCGTTTATTTGTTTCGTCACGTGACACGAAAAAGCACGGTTAGGATCAAATGGGTGGGTGGGTGGGTGGAATCGTTAATTAAAGACAAATATTTGTTTTAAAAGGTAACCGATTAGGACCCAGTTATTACACTGGCGACCATCTGTTGTTAAGTCACACACCCCTACAGCACAAAAGGTGGACTCGCCAAAAAGAGCAACAGGTTGAACCAAAAAGGGTTCAATTTGGGCAAGTTCAAGAGGACAGGCAGACGGGGGGAGGGGGGGGGAAGGCAAAGATGTAAAAAAAAATAACCCGAGATATTTGTGTTTCCCATATTAAATTATAAACGCGTTTCACATCCAAGCAGGCTATTGGGACCCAAAGGGCCACTCAATAATCTACAGTGTTTATTATTATTTTTTTTCACTGAAAACGTATAAATGTAAAAGTTTTGAAATTCGAACACCAATACGTCTTGTGGTTCTTATAAAAGAATGTAGAAAATAATCCGACGTAAATAAAACCCGCATGCAGTGTACATCTATTAACTTTCATAGCAATGAGATATATTGTATTTTTTTTAGGGGCGTTTAAAATGTTATTATAATCGTGCGTGCACACGTGATGCCTCATTGCCGTGCATTTGTAATTGTGGGGGGGGGGGGAAGGGGGGGGGGCACAGTGGTTCATGACCTGAGTTTGATTCCTGGCCGTGGCTAACTACGGTGAGGGGCGACGTCGGCCTTCGGCGTCTCCCCAAAGTTGACGGAGCCCAAAGTGACTGCCTGGCGCAACGCGCAAACGTCGGCGCTGGGCGAGACGAAAAAACAGTGGAACGAACGCGGCACCGTCCCACGCGAGCGCCCCCTCAAGCGCCGTGCCGGGGGTGCTCGCAAACGGCGCAGGCCCCGATATGGGGGGGGGGGGGGACCTTGGTGCTCATTGCGCACGCGAGCGCCCTGCGTCCTCTCGTCAGCGTCGCCCGCACATCCCTTGCATCCCCCGCGTCTGTGTGAATCTGCGCGTCCCAGCGCACGCCGGCGGGCGAGCTCACCGGCACGCGCTCACGCATCCGTCTGCACGTCCGCACGCGCGTGTGTCCACACACTGGCTTTTCCCACCTGCCCCCCCCCCCCAGGATGTGTGTGCGCGTGCGTATGTTTGTCCCCGACGCGTCCCCGTGTCCCCCCCCCCCACCCCCCGTGCGTGTTATGTTTCCCCAAGTGTCTCCCTGCATCTCCGCGTCTCCCCGTGTGTCCCCTGCATTCTCCAAGCGCGTCCACGTGTGCGCGCGCACGACGCATCCCCCCATGCTGGCGTGCGCTTGCCCGCCTCCCGCCGCCCCTCTACGGGACGGAGAGGTCGTGGCACGACTTGGACTTGGCCCTCACCGACGACAGCCTCCCGAAGCGTCCGAGCAGCCTACGGGCCCGCTCGCCCAGGCTGGGCCTCCGGGCGCCGGCGGCTCCGGACGCGTCGCCGTCCCGGGCCCCGCCCGGGCCGGCCTCGGCGGGCCCGGCGGAGCCGCCGCGGCCGCTGCGGCGCAGGCGGACCTGGCGCACGGCGCCGTGCAGGAGCTCCTCGGCGTTGTGGTGGAGCGGCACGGACGTCTCGATGAATTTGCAGTCGAGCAGCAGCGCCACGGCTCGGCCCTCTGGTGTGGTGATGCCGGGGGGGGGGCGGCGGGGAGAGGAGGAAGGGAGGGGGGGGGGCAATCGGAATGTTTATTTATAGTGCAGGAGGAATCCGATGAGCTGTAAAGCTCTCTTTCACAGGTGTCCAGTTGGGGCGGGTCGGAACGTTACAACAACAACAACAGTGACAAAAACACGATTGGTGTGCAGGGTTCAAGAAAGGTCAACAAGTCACCCAAAGACAAAACTAAACCATCCCCATCCTACGCTTTGGTTTTATTCGGTAAAGTCACGTAGGTAAAATAAAATAAAACAAAAATAATTAAATCACGACGTTTCGGAGGCAACACAAAGCTTCCGTCTTCAGGTGGAAAAGTCAACACAGAATATGTGTCAGGAGTACAGTTCAGAGACGACCTGGATTATATGCAGGTTGAGGGTGGCGGGGAGGAGTCAGCAAGGGGGCGTGGGTGGGTGGGAGTGCTGGGATAAGTTACCCTTTGATAGGGATCAAAGGAGCACTTGCCCTGAAACGGTGAAGCAGGAGGTTAAGGGAGGGGGGAGGAGTCAGCAAGGGGGCGTGAGTGGGTGGGAGGCAAAGTCCCACTGACGTATTAACAACGTATTGTGCAGAAGCGACCTGGCCACCACAAATGATGGCTCAACAAAGTGACTTCTTATTCGGGCATTTATAGCAGCGAAATAATCTCAACGGCGGTGGTGGTGGTGGTGGGTGTCGGGGTGGGGGCGGGGGCCGCTGGCGGGGGCTGGGGTGGGGGCCGGGGGTGGGGGCTGGGGGTTAATTCCAGCGCAGTCGAGCGGAATCCAACGGGAAATCGTTGAGCGGGGCTCTCGGTGTCATCCTGGCGTTCGTGCGGCCCTTGGGATTACTCGTAAATTCATTCGTGCGTTCGATCGCCAATCTGTCAGTTTAGAAACTCTCTGTCAATTCAGCAATCGGTCAGTCCAGGAGGACTCCATAGGCAGAAATGTCGCCAATTGTATGATCTGTTCTTAATAACAACAACAACAAAAAAATGATTGGCACGATGACGACGCGCACAGCGACAGACGCCGGCCCGCGGTGGATGAAGAACGTCCGCCCGCGTGCTCTCTCCCCAGCCGCGCAAACGCGCGACAAGGGCGGCACTTCAAGCTCCGACGTCGAGAAAAAAACCCAAAAGACCCCAAACCCCCCCACCCCCCCCCCAAGCTGCTCACCATAGACGGAGACCTATCGCGAGCGCGCCAGGTCGCTCTTGTTGCCCACGAGGATGAGGGCGGCGGTGCGGGGGTGCGGCCGCGCCCGGCGCACCAGCGAGCCCAGCTCGGCGGCACGGTCCAGCGACGAGCGCTCCGTCACCGAGAAGACGAGCAGGAACGCGTCGCCCAGCTGGAGGCTCTGCTCGCGGAACCACGCGCTCTCATCCTGCACGCGCGCAGGGACGGGGTGGGGGGCACGGGGACGGGGGGATAGGGGGACACGAGGGGACAAAGGGGGGTAGGGTTATAGGGGGATCGGAGAGCAGGGGTTTGGGGATCGGGTCACGGTTAGGGCTATGGGATAGGATTAGGGTTTAGATGGCAATTGTGTGTAGAGGATTAACAGGTTCGGGCGAGCGGTTAGAATGAAGTTTAGGGCGTTGGAGAGAATTGATGGCTTACGGTGATGTGTTAGGTTAAGGTTATGGTTCATTACTTTGTGTTACGTGGTTAAATCCTAAGAGTCAAGGGGATTAGAGCTGGCGCCAGCGCTGGGCGTTGTGGTGTCATCGTTCCGCGCACTGGGCGCTCTCGAGTAAAACTCGGGTTTGGAGGTGCACAGGCCGGAGCTGTGCGTCTACCGCGCGCTTGCACCGCTGGAGGGCGCACGCGCGGGTCAGCCGTGCCCTATCCACTGCTGGACGCAGGCAAGAACAAAGAGAAAGGCGCGCAACGGTACCTGGTCCCACGTGTCGAGGATGACGACCGTCGCCTCGTTGCCGTCGACAGACACGGTCCGCTCGTACGTGTCCTCTGCGCGACAACGCGCACGCACACGCCAAAGACAAAGATCCCCCTTGTAGCCTTGACAGACTTGTTGGGGCAAGTGCTGTTAGCGAGTGGCACCTAATGAAAGCCCGGCACGGCACACGATGGGGGTGGGTGGCCAGCACCACGCCCGGCCGCCTTTGTCTCCCCGGTGGTGATGCTTTTACGCACCGCACCGGGTACTCGTTTGAGGCCGAGTCGACCTAGGGGAGGCCCAGGACCGGTTCATACAATCGTCGCCGGTGTTGTTGGCCGTGAGCGGGAATCGAACTCGGGTCGCCGGGTTCGTGGCGCTGACCACTACACTACTGCTCCCCGCACACGCGCACAGACACCACGCGGCACCACGCACCCAAGTCGGCCTCCCAGTCGGAGCCCATGGCGTCCTCGCTGCCAGCCAGCACGCACGCCAGGCTCGACTTGCCCACGCCGGCGTCCCCCAGCAGCAGCACGCGGTACACGGCGCCCGCCGCCTCCGTGCTGCCCCCCGACAGCACCGAGTCGGCCGACTCGGACGACCAGCTGCTGCGGTGCTCCCCCGCCGACGCCGACGCCGCGGAGGAGCGAGCCGGCACCCCGCCTCCTCCTCCTCCTCCGCCACTGGGGCCCCGGGCGCCGGCCGCCGCCGCCGCCGCCCTGCCGGGGTCGAGGCCGTCGGGGGGGCAGGCGCGCTGCTGCAGGGCGGCGCTCTGCCGTCGGCGCTGGTGCGCCAGGGGCAGCGGGGTGCTGCCTCGCCTCCTCTCCAGGCTGCGCAGCTTGTCCGACTTGTGCAGAGTCATCCTGCACGCGGGCGCCACCCGTCGCGACAGAGATCACCCGGCGTCACCCTCGCTGTACCAGACACCCGGCGTCACCCTCGCTGTACCAGACACCCGGCGTCACCCTCGCTGTACCAGACACCCGGCGTCACCCTCGCGGGCCCAGACACCCGGCGTCACCCTCGCGGGCCCAGACACCCCGGCGTCACCCTCGCTGTGCCAGACACCCGGCGTCACCCTCGCTGTCCCAGACACCCGGGTCACCCTCGCTGTGCCAGACACCCGGCGTCACCCTCGCTGTACCAGACACCCGGCGTCACCCTCGCGGGCCCAGACACCCGGCGTCACCCTCGCGGGCCCAGACACCCGGCGTCACCCTCGCGGTCCCAGACACACCGGCGTCACCCTCGCGGGCCCAGACACCCGGCGTCACCCTCGCGGGCCCAGACATCCGGCGTCACCCTCGCGGGCCCAGACACCCGGCGTCACCCTCGCGGTCCCAGACACACCGGCGTCACCCTCGCGGGCCCAGACACCCGGCGTCACCCTCGCGGGCCCAGACACCCGGCGTCACCCTCGCTGTGCCAGACACCCGGCGTCACCCTCGCGGGCCCAGACACCCGGCGTCACCCTCGCGGGCCCAGACACCCGGCGTCACCCTCGCGGGCCCAGACACACCGGCGTCACCCTCGCGGGCCCAGACACCCGGCGTCACCCTCGCGGGCCCAGACACCCGGCGTCACTCTCGCTGTCCCAGACACCCGGCGTCACCCTAACCGCTAAATATTTTTTGTTTTTTTTTACCAGGTACGGCCTGGTAAAAATGACAGCTCAACGAAGTGGCCTATCATCGCGTGGAAATGTATAGCATTAGCCAACTACTATAAAACGCGTGATGTTGATTCGATAATGCGGAGGGAGAAACCGGAGGTCCCGGTGGACGCAATCTCCAGAGCTGCATCACCCTCGTCATCCCAGACCCGCGGGCGTGTGGGGTCCACTTCGAGGACACGCTTATTTGTGTGTTTAGTTTGTAGTCCTTACCCCGCACCTCCGATTCGCACGGTTGGCTAGGAACGTTGCGAGAGAAGTTCAACGCGCAGACACTCAGCAGACACAGAATCCTAACTAGGCGGGCCCTCGCCTGTCTGCCTCTCACCGCTTCTCCCTCCCCTCCACGCACTCCAAACTCTCCACTCTCGCTGCTCCCCCCTCCCATTCACATCACTCTCCAAACTCTCCCCTCTCACCTCCTTCTAATCCCTTTGACGAACTCTCCGCTCCAGCACTCGAGGCTTTCTCTCGAAGACCTCAGTCAACCTTCGCTCGGAGGGGGAAGGGAAGACGAGGGGGGTGGGGGTGGGGGGGGTCGCTAATTCTCTTCTGCTGACCCCATGGTGGCCTCTAACTCCCTTCTCACAGCGGTTCGTGCAGTAGACTCCCTGCTCGTGGTCAGTTCTGGGCTCAAGACATTGTTTGAAAAAAAAAAAAATAATAAACGGCGTCTTATTTTACTAGGTAAGGCCCACTGGGCTGTACAGCTCTTATTTCAGAAGAGATGTGGCCACAAATGAAACGAAGTCGCTCATCGTCACCGCGTGGAAATTTATAGCAGCAGCCAAATGACTCTAAACGCGTGATGTTGATTCGGTTCGTGCAGTAGACTCCCTGCTCGTGGTCAGTTCTGGGCTCAAGACATTGTTTGAAAAATAACAAAAAAAATAAACGGCGTCTTATTTTACTAGGTAAGGCCCACTGGGCTGTACAGCTCTTATTTCAGAAGAGATGTGGCCACAAATGAAACGAAGTCGCTCATCGTCACCGCGTGGAAATTTATAGCAGCAACCAAATGACTCTAAACGCGTGATGTTGATTCGAAAATGTGAAGGGAAACGCCAGAGCACCTGGAGAAAAGTCCACTCGACCACGGGGAGAGAGTGAGAAATGCAAACTCCATATATATAGGCGTCAGGGTCTGGATCGAAGCCACGCACGGTGGGGGGGGTCGACTGAAGTGCGCCATAGGAACGTGGAATTTCCATGGAGCCGAGCGGCGCCGCTCGTTGCCAAGGCTCGTCGAGCGAGGAGCCGTGCACGGCGAGGCGTGACGCGATGCGAGAAATCGCGCGGCGAGGTGCCGAGTCGATGCGAGTGACACTTCACTGCTACCGGCGGCGCCACTTAAGCCACCAATAATTATCGCAGCCGCTCTCGCAGGCGACGAGAGCGGCGCGTCCCACGAGTCGCGTTGTTGCTGCTGGGGGGGGGGGCTGCAGAGGAGCGGTGGCGCAGCGGTTAGCGCAACGCAATTACGCAGCCCCCGGGCTCGATCCCAAACCACGGCTGACGTCAGTGGCGAGTGATAACCTCCCGCCTGACGTCACCGACGCGCACGGTAGTGGTGAAGTATGGTCGGTCGCACATCTGACACTGGACGTGGAAACTGATGCCCGTTGTCACTGCGATACTCTGCATTGGCGGTGGTGCTTAAGCACAAACCAAATCAAGGCTTTCGTCAATAGCACCGCCTATTGAATAATAATAATGATAATACTACTGTGTTCCCTTTAGGGCAGTGTACTCGATGAATCATTCGAGGCGTTTAGTATAAATTGTCATTGTTATTGTCCACGGTGAATCTGTTCTCCCTTGTCTGCCGTCGAGATGATGGAGACTCCTGTGGCTGCTGACGGAGCCACCTCCCCACCACCACCACCACCGCTCTCTCCATCCCTGCACAGAGCCCCCCCACCCCCCACTCGCCCCCCCCCCCGGTCCCCGGCCCCCGCTCACGCCCCCCCCCAGTGCATGCGGGATGAGTCAGCCTGAAGAGTCAGCCTTGAGTAGACACTCACCCCCAGCAACAATGGGCGACTCTTCAGCCTCGTGTGTGGTGTGTGTGGTGTGTCTAGTGTGGTGTGTCTAGTGTGGTGTGTCTAGTGTGGTGTGTGTGTGGTGTCTAGTGTCGTGTGTGTGTGTTGTGTGTGTGGTATGTTTAGTGTGGTGTGTGTGTGTGGTACGTGTGGTGTGTGTGATGTGTGTGCGTGTGGTATGTGTGTGCGGTGTGTGTGTGTGGTGTGTGTGTGTGGTGCGTGGTGTGTGTGTGGTGTGTGTGCGTGTGGTGTGTGTGTTGTGCGTGGTGTGTGTGTGTGGTGTGTGTGCGTGTGGTGTGTGTGCGGTGTGTGTGTGGTGTGTGTGTGTGGTGCGTGGTGTGTGTGTGTGTGGTGTGTGTGCGTGTGGTGTGTGTGTGCGGTGTGTGTGTGTGGTGTGTGTGTGGTGTGTGTGTGTGGTGCGTGGTGTGTGTGTGTGTGGTGTGTGTGTGCGGGGTGTGTGTGGTGTGTGTGTGTGGTGCGTGGTGTGTGTGTGTGGTGTGTGTGTGCGGTGTGTGTGTGTGGTGTGTGTGTGTGGTGCGTGGTGTGTGTGTGTGTGGTGTGTGTGTGTGGTGTGTGTGTGTGGTGTGTGTGCGTGTGGTGTGTTTGCGGTGTGTGGTGTCTAGTGTCGTGTGTGGGTGTAGTGGTGCAGCGGTGAGCGCGCTCGATCTCACTCACGGCCAACGCCAGTGACCATTATCTGAACCGGTCCTGAGTCTCCCCTAGGTCGACTCAGCCTCAAAATAGCATGAGTACTTGGTGCGCTGTGTAAACATCGCAACTGGGGAGACAAAGACGGCCGGGCGTGGTGCTGGCCACCCACCCCCTCGTGTGCCCTGCCGGCCTTCATGGATACTCGTTAACAGCACTTGCCCCATACGTCTGTTCAGGCTAGACGGGGGATATTTGTCTTGGTATGCGTGTCGGTGCTTCGAGTGGCCTCGTTCGTCTAACATGCAGCGTGCAATACGCGCAGCATCAGGCACGTGTGCATGTGTGTGGCATATGCACGACACATACACGTGTGTGTGTGGCATCACAGCAGTGCATTGACAAAAGTGCTTAAAATTACAATTATTGTTCAAATGTAGCTTGCTAAATTAGCCCTCATATGCGACCCATTAAGCTGTCAATCACCACGTGCAGCAATGGTATGCATGAGAACTGTGAGGGCCAGCCGTTCCTAATCCGTGACCCCCCACAGTAAACACAGAACACACCGATACACAACGTGACTCAAATGCCTTACTAACACAGAACACACCGATACACAACGTGACTCAAATGCCTTACTAACACAGAACACACTAACACACAACGTGACTCAATTGCCTCACTAGCACAGAACACACTAACACACCACGTGACACAAATGCCTCACTAGCACAGAACACACTAACACACCACGTGACACAAATGCCTCATTATCACAGAACACACTAACACACCACGTGACACAAATGCCTCACTAGCACAGAACACACTAACACACCACGTGACACAAATGCCTCACTAGCACAGAACACACTAACACACCACGTGACACAAATGCCTTACTAGCACAGAACACACTAACACACCACGTGACACAAATGCCTCACTAGCACAGAACACACCGATACACCACGTGACACAAATGCCTCACTAGCACAGACCACACCGATACACAACGTGACACAAATGCCTTACTAGCACAGAACACACTAACACACCACGTGACACAAATGCCTCACTAGCACAGAACACACTAACACACCACGTGACACAAATGCCTCACTAGCACAGAACACACCGATACACAACGTGACACAAATGCCTCACTAGCACAGAACACCCCGATACACAACGTGACACAATTGTCTCACTAGCACAGAACACACTAACACACAACGTGACTCAAATGCCTCACTAGCACAGAACACACTAACACACCACGTGACACAAATGCCTCACTAGAACAGAGCACACTGATACACCACGTGACACAAATGCCTCACTAGCACAGAACGCCCCGACACACCACGTGACACGAATGCCTTACTAGCACAGAGCACACTAACACACCACGTGACTCAATTGCCTCACTGGAACAGAACACACTAACACACCACGTGACACAAATGCCTTACTAGCACAGAACACACTGATACATCACGTGACACAAATGCCTCACTAGCACAGAGCACACTAACACACCACGTGACACAAATGCCTTACTAGCACAGAACACACCGATACACCACGTGACACAAATGCCTTCCCAACACCGCATTGGCTCGGGACGTGAACGCGTAGTCCTAACAACCTCGAGGTTGGGGGGGGGGGGGGGGGGGGGGGGGGGGGGGCCGTGGTCTTAATTGGGGGGCCCGGCCATAACAACAATAACAACAAGGTTAAGAACCAATTCTTCAATGCTCCAGATGTGACTATCCCACACAGGTCGTCATAGTCGATGCGACGATCCGCGGTTGTATTTGAGGCGGATCACGTGGTGGTGATGGTAGGTTTTTTGCTGAATGCCGACATTCTTGTCAATAGTCCTCCACCACCCGACTTTGATCGTCACGTCTTGACAAGACGCGTGGACACGCAGGCACGTGTCCTACCGTTTACTACCGCGGCGTGTACTGCCGTTTATCGTCGACCATGGACTATCCACTGCTGGATGAAGGCCTCCCCGCCACAAATCCATCGCCGTCCGGTAGGGGGCGTCGCGACAGCACACTCTTATGGTGTATTTTTTAAAGTGATTTTTTATCTTGCCCATAAATTTGCACTCCTATCATGTTTTCTTTTTAAATTGCTTGTTGTTGCGACGTTCTGAACCCCGATGCCCCCTACCGGACATCTGTGAGAGAAACAAAAAAAATAGCTCATCGGATTACTCCTCCGGTGCAAGTCAAAAAAAGATTCCAAATGATCGCTCCGTCTCCGCTCCGAGCGGAAATTCTCCTGGCGCGCTCCGTCTCGCGGCTGCCGTTCCGTGGCTAGTCTCGCCCACCGACTATCCATCACTCACTCCTGCTGTGGCGACGCGTCGCTTCCCAAAGTCCCCACTCAAACACGTTTCCTTCACGTCAGGCGCATGGTGTCGTTCATAAATGTGCGCGCTTTTTAATAACGTGCCAATGCACGTCGTTAAAATCGTGTTGTTGCTGTTGTTGTTCGGGAAAAATGGAAGGAACCGGTAAATAGAGGAAGACCTAACAGACGACGATATAAGAGATTGGTGTCAGAATGATGTGGCCACGACTTGAGCCACATTTGCCCAAGATAGAGGACGGTGGAAAGAAATGAGGAAGTGTGCAGTGGACACTACTACGGGCTATCTGCCCAAGGAGCTTGATATCTCAGAATCGTACTGGAGGTATCCGATGAGCTACAAAGCTGTTTCACACAGATAGCTAAGCCACGTGTTTCTCTTTCGGTATCTCAATATACGATGATTCCAAGAACGCCGATCGCGCGCTCTCTCTCGACGCGGTCTTAACACTTTGAAATCTCGTCGGGGATATTTCCCATCCATGTGAACAAATTTCATCCATTTACTGCACAAAACATTTGAGCCATACTGGCACAAGACAAGAAGGGAAGTGGAAAAAAATGACGACATTTGCAGTGGATGCCACGGGGAAATCAGCCCATGGATCGTGATGATGATGATGATGACGATGATGACACTAACATCACAGCACACACACCGCAATTCTCACCCTAACCAGACTGGCATCAAGCTCGTCGACGATATTCCCAGGATTATAAGACGCTCTGGAAAGTTAAGACTTGCCCCAAATGTTGGGGGTGGAGATGGTTCAGTGTCACGGTGGCGAGATGTTAACTACCTCGCCTGGTGTACAGGGGGTCGTGAGTTCGATCTCGACCCTGAAGATGATTGAGTTTGGCTGTTCCTTCTCTCTCCGTGGTCGTGTGGATAAAATCTCCACGTGATGAAGACGATGGTAAGCCACTTGGTTGAGCTATCATTCGTGGCCAGGTCGATTCTGAAAAAGGGCTAGACAGCTCAGTGGGCCTTACCTGGTAAAATAAAAAGATAAAAATGTCTCAGTTTTCGTTTAGTCAATTGAGTAGTACGAATCTAGTGACACAAGCACACGCCTCCTGCATTCTGAAACGCGTCTTATAATCCGGAAAACGCAGTTGCGTCTTGTATCCGCCGTACAGAATTGCGGAAATCTCTCCATCTCTCGCCGAACGAATTAAATAAAAACCCGATCCGCTAAAATAATCTTCACCGAATATGATATCGCGTACGAGTGCACACCCCCCCCCACACACACATTGCCTCTGCAAATGTTACACACAGACAGCACCGTTGTCAATCCACTGCTGGATGAAGTCCTCGATCCCACACGGCTGTGTCGCGATCGTGGGGTGGGTGGAGATCGTTTGACCATACTTCACCGCGCACGCCGCTCGCCAGGCGCGACTTGGCAACGATGCGACTCGGTGTGTGACAATCACTCGCCAAACGGACGTGAAGCCGTGGCCGAGATTCGAACTAGGGTCGCCGTAGCCGTTTTTGTTGCTGTTGCTGCTGCAACAATGACACGCGCGCGCGCGCGCACAAGGCCCCGTCGCCCGAAACGTCGCCCACGATACGATTTCTTTCCTTTTCAGGCCATGGCGTTATTTGGACGCGCGCGTTGCGTTACGTGGGCTCGCGTCATTTGTGGTCGCGCGCCACAGCCAACGCGACAGCACCGAAAACGGGTGCCTTTCAAACTTTGCAGCCGCGCGGTGCATTCGGCCGAGGTGCGATTCGAATGCGTTGAAAGTGGCACTTACTTGGAGTGGGCGAACGAGGCTCGGCCGGACGATGGGTGACCGTAAATGGGCGATCACCGTTGGAGCACACAGCACCAGGTGCACGCGTGGTGTATCCTTGTGGCTCACAACTACCCTGGCGTGCACTCAACGCTCTCTCCCTCCCCGCGTCTCTGGAAGATGTGTCGCCTGTTACTTGGCACGCGCGCACCGACGCAACACCCCGTAAGGTACAGCGGACCCTCGACCGTAGATGCTCTCGACCCAAACTGCGCTCTTGATCGACTGCGCTTGTAGACTACAAACCCACAGGTGGCTGTTGCTGCTGCACTGACTCACAGCCCCAAAAGCACCTCGGTTGCTTTCACTCCGCCTCTCTCTCTCTCCTTCTCCTCTGCGCTCTGAGTTTTATACTGGCGAGCGAGAGAGAGAGAGTGGGGGTGTGTGAGTGGGTGGGTGAGTGAGTGGGGGGTAAGAGAGAGAGTGGGGTGAGTATTGGGGGAGGAGGGATGCGTGTCCAGCCCCCCCCCCCCCCTCAATCTCACCCCCCTCCACTCCGCGAACACAGCCCTGATTAAACTGCACAGGATCGCGTCTGCGCACGGAATCCCATCACCACCTCCAAAGGTTCCCCGTATAGTCTCAACAGACTGTTGGGGCAAGTGCTGTACAGGGAGCAACTTACGAAGGCCGCGCACAGCACACGAAGGGGGTGGTGATGTTGGCCAGAGTCAACGAGCGGCCGCCGATGTTTACACACCGCACCAAGGTGCTAATTTAAGGCTGAGTCGACCTAGGAGAGGTCCGTTTGAGATATCAGCCACTGTTTTTGGGTCGTGAGCAGGAATTGAACTCGTTTTTTGGGGTTCGTAGAGTAGTGCGCTAACAACTACCCCCCCCCCCCCCAACACACACACACACACGGACCCCCACAACAATGTACTTTTGTCGGTAATTAAGGAGCATTATCAAGTGTCAGCATGACGCCCGGCTCACACCGAGTGGATGTTCTGATTCTGAATGTGTGTTGTGTCTGTGTGTGGGCCTCCCCTACGTAGACTCAGCCTCAAATCAGCACCTGGGGCGATGCGTACGCATCAGCGCTTGGAAGACAAAGGTGGCCGGGGCGTGGTTCTGGCCTACATCACCCTCTCGTGCTGTGCTTTAATAGGTGCTCGCGAACGCCACTTGCCCCAACAGTCTGTTGAAGGCTACATGGGGGATCTTAGTCTTTGTGTCTGTGTACGTGTATTGTTTTTTTATTGTGAGCGTGTGTATTTTTGTCCATTGTTCGTTTATTTTATTTTATGGCTTATATGGTTTGTGGGTGAGTGCGTGCGCGCGCGCGCGTGTGTGTGTGTATGTGTCTCCATTCCGTCTGTCATTTCTGTGCAAATATTCACAGCCATGTCCATCCTGCACAGGACCACGACGATTAAAGGTCGACCCAGCCAAGAAAATGAATACCTCCAACGGCCTGGTATCACCACCAAAGCCCGGGAAGACAAAGGCGGCCGGGTCGTTCATGCTTTGGCTCGTTAACATCCAGGACTTCATTTGTCACTCGATATTTTCCCGAAACCCTGCTCCGCTGTCTTGGGAAATATGGAGTTATCGGCGTAAGGCACTACCACTAGAATACAAAATATGCATATCCGTAACAATAACAATCCTATTCCTGGTTCTTTCGGTAAAGTCACGTAGAAGGGAAACAAGAATATGAATCCCTGCAGTCACGAAAGCTTTAAATAAAAATAACAATCCTATATGACATTATGGTACCCTACTACATTCGTATAATCACACGAAACGGTTCATCACCAAAACTGAAGGGGGGGGGAATCCCCGAACATTTCCTGGAACAGCGTTCTGGACTATTCCAGCTGAGTTAAGCCCTGGTGACATCAGCCTTAAAAGGGGGCAAAACTCCCCGTTCTGAGTGCGCGCGCGCGCGCGTTAACTCTGTTTGCTGTCTTCCAGAGGCACGAGTTTTGACAGCAACAACAGCTGTTGCCGCTGTTTGTGTTGGCTGTTGCCAAGATACAGCTATTACACGGCTCGGATCGAGACGGAGGTAGCGTAGCGCGTGGCGAGTTGCAGCGCGCTGCGCGACGAACCCCGGCCGACCCGAGTTCGATTCCCGCCCACGGCCACCAACACCCCAGTGACGATTATTTGAACCGGTCCTGCGCCCCTTCCCCTAGGTCGGCTCAGTCTCAAACGAGTAGCCTGGGGTTGCGGTGTGTTAAAACATCGCCGCTGGAGTAGACGAACGTGGCCCCGAGGGTGGTGCAGGCCCACCCGCACACCCATCTCGTGCGCCGTGCCGGCCTTCTTAGGTGCCGCTAATCGCTCACAGCACTTGCTCCTAACAGTCTGTTAAGGCTATAACGGTGGGGGGGTCTTTGTCTTTGGGTGCGCGCCAGCGTTAACATTTCGCCGGTGATTCAGGCCCGCGACCCCTAATAAGCAATTTTGTATTCCTCTAAATATGCAGTGCGCGGTGATTTATGGGGAGCAGCTGTAAAGGATCTCATTACGCGTACCGAGACCAGCAGGTCATTCACAATCGTCGTCATCAGCAGCCATGCTCAATCCACTGCTGGACGAAGAGCGTCTCACACCCATGACGATATTTCAAAGCGTTAAGACAGTGGAAATAGAGAGACGTGTGTGTGTGTGATTAATTTTAGAGAACGCGTGCTGGTTAATGACATCATTAAAAGTGGGGTAGAGAGAGGGGGAGGGGGGGGGGAAATTGGTGCGATTGGGGAAAAGCAGCAATGTGTGGGCGAGAGTGGGGCATGACGGATGATGGTTTAAGAATAACAGCGGGAGCGGCAGGCCAGCCCTAGGGATGGAACGCGACGTTGCAGGTGGGTTGGGATGGATTTTTCCTGCTCTTCAACTCGGCGGGGGCCTTCATCCAGCAGAAGGGGGAGTTGACCGTGGCCGCTGCCGATGACTCGACGAAGGGGTTTTGTGTAAAGGGGGTGGGTGCCGTTAATTAGTGGAGCCTGTGGACGGATCTCATTGGACGTCTGTGAAAGAGAAAAAAAAAGAGCTTGATCGCTCGTCGGATTCCAGCCAGGGTCAATTAATGTATTCTGGTTCCGATAGGAACGTTATGCAGGGTGGTCCGATTATAGACACATCACTAACATAGCCCCCCTCCCTCACCCTCAAAATAATGTTGCATCTTCCTCAGCGATCTTAATCGTTGAACCTTTGCCCCTATAAGATAAGGAAGACCCTCGCTTTCACGGAATTCAATCACCTGTTGGGAAAGGGGCTCATTCAAAAAGTCGGTGTGGTATCCATCAATGGGTCACCCCTTATATTTATGGGCTAAGACTAATGTAGTCGATGTTCTCGCAGCGACGCCACCGTGATCGACATAATCACGACCACTACTATTACTCTCGTCAACATCACCATAGCCATCATTATTCTCACGATGCACGTTTGTCGCTGCCGTCATCATGATCATCATCACTTACCATCATGAGCATCATCATCATCATCACCACAGTTGCCACCCTCATTATCATCAGCAGCAGCAGCATCACTGCCATCGTCATAATCTTATTATCATCACTGTCGTCATCATCATCACAGAACCTCAGCAAGCATTACCGTCAAATCACAATGTCAGTCGTGTAGCCCTATCCCTACCTCGCGAGTAAAAACAAAGACATGCTGATTCGCTCGGCTAACTGCTCCCAGGTGCAGCACAATGCAGGGATTTGCGAAAGTACATCGCGCCGCGTACAGGACCATCCACCCCATGGCCCCAATCGACTACCCCCCACCCACCACCACCCACGTTCAATGCTGCTGCCTACTTTAAGCCAGACGCGACTGTGCAGGAGGAATTCCAGACGGACGATGACGAACAGCCAACCCCATCCTTGCCGTCTCAGTGGCGCAGCGCGGTTGGCATGCGCCTTGGTGCAAGGGATAAAATGCCCCCCCCCGCCCCGCCTCCCACCATCCATCTCGATGTAGCCAAACGCTTGGGGTCTCTCCCGCTTGCACACTCAAAAGCTATGCGACTGGTGTCTCACTTGCTTGCTAAATTTAAAAAAAAGGTTCGTGTACCCTCCCCACTCGATGCTGTAATAGAATATCGTGTAACAGATGGTGGCTAACAGCGACCTTCCCATATGCGTTGTTATGCACAGAAATAGTGGTCGATCATAGAGGAAAATGTGGACGGCCTTGAGCCTGGTCTATAACGAGGGCAAGGGAGTCGACGGATGAGAGGGGAGAGGTATTAGAGTGCGTGTAATGGAGGGGGAGTGGAGTGAGGGGAGAGATAGGAGGGCGAGCGAATGGGGAGCAAAGTAAAATGCATTGAGAGAGCTAGGAGAGTGTGTGGAGGGGAGTGGAGTGAGAGTAATAGCTGGGAGTGTGTGGAGAGGAGTGGAGTGAGAGTAAGAGCTGGGAGTGTGGAGGGGAGTGGAGTGAGAGTAAGAGCGGGGAGAGTGTGGAGGGGAGGGGAGTGAGAGTAATAGCTGGGAGTGTGTGTGGAGGGGAGTGGAGTGAGAGGGGAGGGGAGAGTGAGTGGAGGGAAGTTGAGTATGTATATGTTGAACTTGTTTCGCACCGTGAGACGTGAGGGGAGAGTGCGTGGAGGGCAGCAGAGGATTCCAGGACACCCCTCAATTAATTCATGCTATTAGTCGCCTGTCAATCAAGGTATACAATAAGCCCCACACTGAATAGCATTAACTCACAGCTTGACTGCCTCTGTTTTAAGCCATGTGAGTCTAGTTAATGCAAGCACTTCTCTGATCCATGTTATAGTGAAGCATGTAATAATCCACTTCCGGATGAATGCCTCCCCACATCCTGCAGTCAGAAGGGTAGTTTAACCATACTTGACCAAACTGTGATCAGTGTTAGTTGGTGAAACACGTGTCTGGATTCTCGACTCATGTCGGTCATGGCCAGGAATCGACATCAGGTTGCTGGGATCACAATGTAACGTGCTAACCACTGCACCACCGCTCCACCCATAGCAGTAAAGTATAAACTTTGAAAGAAATGTCAGTACGAGGACGAGATGCATACACTTCGTGTATACGAGATATGCACGTGGCACTTTCCAAACGGTTTTACAGTATGCCGAACATGGAATGCAAAACGAATGCATTTGATAAAGTACTCAAACCATTAATTCCTCTAAACTATATTTGAACTAGAACTTGGCACGCCAATAAAACGAATTACGAATGCATACCATATTCATGATATGCTCCATAAACATTTTAGCCGTGAAAAATGTGTTGCGTTCTCAAAATATATTTCTCATTCTTTTGCAAACCGTTTTGCAGATGTCTGTGTAATAGAAGTATTCAGTTATCTCCATATTTCTCCTTTCCGTCAACATGTAAAAGCGGTCTTGGGGTACCTTTTTCATTAAACTTTCCAATTTTCGTGACAAAAAAGGTGTTCTTCTTCAATAACTCTTCGAATTGAATTCCAGACATGGAGATGCGGATATTAATCTAAAACTCATTTCTTTAGAACTTATTTTATGTTTGTAGTGTTTTTGTCCTTTTCCCGCACCTCCGAATAGCACGGTTGGCTACGTACGTTGCGAAATAAGTTCAACATACATGTACACACGACTGGTTTTGGGTATCACGCGGATACACCGCCAGGTGCTTTGCAACTCATTGCAGACTAAATAAAATGCCTTTAAGATGACAAGCACTGTCCAGCAAGTGTGTTACTCACCACGTGGAGACACCTTCCAGAGCTATTGCCTCATATGGGTGTTTTTTTTAGCAGCGTCACACTACCTGCAGCACTACTTGGCGGAGAAGCCGACTTGGCAACGCGTTGAGAGACAGAACGAGGGACTCGTGAATTCGAGAACGTACAAAGGGGGGTTCCGAGGCAAAAAAAAAAACCCAGAAACGTTCGAACGCGCACGAGTGACACGTGGCTAGCAAGGCGGACGATGACCTGACGGTCAAGAACCGATGACGGAGCGGGCAGCCCAAGCGCGCGGAGAAGGAGCGATGAATTGAACTCGCGGTGTGTGCAGCTGCCGGGCTGGATTGTTGCATCGCAGGATCGCGCGAGAGGCGGCGACGGTTTTGGGCGAGTAGTTCGTCGCTGCGGCTGAGAAGACCGCGGCTGAATCGATGGCGATTCAGCCGGGGTTTTCTCTGTCAACCCGATATCCTCCCGCAATTCAAATACATAAAAAATAATAAACACCACGATAGTGCGTTCCTGAAAATGGGCGTATTAACGCCAAGCGAGTCTTTCCGTGTATAAGGACTGTTATTATTACAGTGCTACATTCATTTTTTTTACCAAGACGTGACACACCATAAACGCCCATAGAATTAAGGCAAAAGCAACGCACGAGCGAAGGAACAATGAACAGACGCCTCAAAATACTCAATCGCCAACACACACCACACACGCGCGCACGAGAGAGAGTTGACCTTAACACATCACCATTTACGAATTGTCCAAGTTTACTGTTACAGTACCAGACTTGTGCCACAAACACCAAACGACGGACAGTTAATGGGGTGGGGGGGCCTTGGCAAAGAGGCAGAAGTTGGCATTTGGGGAGCGGTAATAAGGTCAGGGTTGGGCAACCTATGACCCGTGACCACAAGAGGCCTGCCACTCTGAAGCGGCCCACAATCGGGTGGCAGCGTGGCGCATGTACGTATGTTGAACTTCTTTCGCACCGTACGTAGCCAACCGCGCTAATCGGAGGTGCGGTGTGAAGGACAACACAAAAAGCAGTTCTTAATTAGTGAGTTTTCACTCTTGATGCTGTTAAAAGTGCATAAGCTTCAGTGGCTTCCTCATATCGGAAGCGCGTTCACGTCTGTAACACCAGCGCTTAACACCGTGTGCCTCACAGCAAGAAGCGCCTCGGTTAGATTCCTGATTTACTCACCTTTCTGTGTGTGATTTGTATGCCCCCCCTCGCCCCTCCCTTCTGCATGGGTCACCTCCCAATTCTCCAGTTTCCTCTCACAGCGAAAACAAACAATACAATAATAAACCTGGTGCTGGCAAAACATCCCAAATGCAAAACCCTCCCGACAAAAACCTTCGGGACTCTGGGGTGGCTTTCCTGGGCAAGACGAGAAATTGATTATAATAATCCAGGACAGCGAGCAATACTCGCGAGCAACACTCGCTGTCGTCACCTGATGACGGACGCTTGTGTCGCGCCCGAAACGTCGTGATTGAATTTAGTTATTTTCATTTTATTATTTTCATTGTTATTAGTCTTCATCTACGTGACTTTACCGAAGAGAACCAAAGAGCATGGATCCTTGCAATCACGAAAACTTCAAATCTAGAATTGACAGCGAGAAACTTGGCCGCGTCTCCGAACGCGTGGGAATTGCGAGCCGAAGCCAAACTGCGAGCGAGCGGGCGGGCGGGCGGAGGGCAGGCGGGCGGAGGGCAGGCCGTGCGCAACGCACAAGCGCGGCAAAAAGGTGAAACCCCCTAGTTATTCCTCTCGCGTTATTGGTGGACACAACGGCGGTAATGTGTGGGTGCTAATGTGCGGCACCCAGGGCTACTTGAAATGAATGTTCCCATTCGGATCTCGTTAAAGAAAAGGAATGTACCCCCCCCCCCACCAAGCCTCGGGTCAGGGTGAGTGGCTGCTTGATTCGTTGTTGGCTGGAGGTTTTGGGAAGGGATAGTGTTTGATTGGGGTGCTCTGTTCAGACGACTTGCCACCGGCAACTTTTTTAGTTTTTGATGTTTGCAGTGGGAGATTTTGGTTGTCGTCGTGAGACAATGCTTTAAATGGTCCGTTTTTCATTGTTGTTTTTTTGCCATTTTAACCATCACATGGTTAGAATTTGTTTAATTTTCCTTTTAAATTGTGGTGATTAAGGTTATGAAAGTATACCAATTGTGTAGCATTTAGTGCACATTCTTAAAATCTTCTGCAAAATATGCAATATTTTCATTTGACTAGACATTGTAATATATATAGAACTACAATCGCGGAAACAATGTATTTGCATTGTCATTCTGTATTGTTGTTCGACTTCGTATGGAAGGATTTGTAGAATTGCAAACTGCGATCGTTGGTGGCGAGTCCAACGTCGCATATCCGACTTTACCGGGGGACCGAGGTCTTGGGGGATATGTGAAAAAGGTCGGACATGTGAACATCTTTAGAAAAAGAGAAAGTTACTCCGCGCGGGCAAACACTGCACCGGGTGAGGGCGGCTCACTGGTCAGGGTGGACATGTGACTTTGGAAGAAGCGACGTTGACCGCATTTACAAACTTGTAAATGCGCCACTTGAAAATGACAAGCAGCGGCGAGGGTATAATTTTAACGCGTGCCATCTGCTGAATGAGCAAACATTGGAACTTCGCTCTACCTTGCCGCGTAGGTTTGTCACGACCGCGCCGTGCATCGCTCTCTCCAACGCGATTTTAGCGTGCACCGCGTTTCGATCGGAAAGATGTCCGACGTTTCACGACACGACCAGGCGAAACACACCGAGGGGCCGTGGGTTGTACATCGCACAGCAAACCCCCGAAAAGCGACGACAGAAGTGGTTACGCTAAAGGCTGCAATCGTTGAACCTTCAATCGCGCCCGTGAACCCAAACGCGTGGAATGTGTGAAGGTTTTGGCACCGATGTGAAGCATCTCACAAAGGCAATGGAATGGAGTAAAAGACTAAGACATCATATTCTCAAAGAGGCCAGTGTAGACAATGGGGACAATGAAGTGGAATTTTACTGTACTTGGATTGGCTGCCAATACGCTGGCAGCCAGTACATGAATCTATTTTGCTGAAAAAAAATATTCTTTACATACGTAGGCTCCTCACCAAAATCTGCCACTCAAAAGCGCCATCAAATTTTTTTTAAATAAAAAGTGAGTTTTCGACGTCCAATGGCACTGCACTGCATCTTTTTTTTCTCTTTGCACTTAAACGGGATGGACATCGTATGGGTTTGTATGTTCAAACGCCTCTTTAAAAAAAAAAAGAGGTGCCTGGACCGGGAGGGTGCCCGGGGTGGCTCAGGGGATCAAGAGCGGCCGAGCCAGTGCTGCCGAGATCCTGGATTTAAATCCAGGCAGCCGGGTCATCCAGCGAGCCTGCAAACAGACCGAATTTTTTTTTTTTAAGTGGAGTGAGCCTATGGTCTCAGGCGTGGTCGGCAATGGACTGCACACAAAACGAAGAAACCCCATTGCATTCACTTTCACGCAATTAATTTTGATTACTTATAGCTCGGAGAACTGTTGCTGAACAAGACTCTGTTGCAGGCAAAGGGTGTCTCCTACTGGTGGAAAAGTGTAGCGAGTACTGTGTGGACTAGAATATGCTGTTTTGTTTAACGTGCAACTCTACTCAGTTTTTTTTTACGTGCAGGGACAGATATTGTCTGCCGAGTTATTTTGTGTGGACCAGAGGGCAAATGACGGGATCTCTAGAGACATCTTTGTGATGTCCACTTCAATCGGCTTGCAAGAGCTCCTTATGAAATTTGTCTCATGACATGACCCCGATAGCACATTCAGGATCACACCGGGGGGGGGATAAAAAATAAAATATAAAAAGACGGCTAGCCATGTGGCGTAGTGGCAGAGCATCCGATTAGCTTTTAAAATGTCTTGAGTTTAAATTGTGATCAAGGATTAACTCAGCCTATCATTACTCCAGGGTGGATAAAATAAGAACTACTATGGACAGACTGGTTCCCAGCAGAGAAATGCTGCATTTCCCCCACCGGCCCAGAGTATTGCCTAATGCTCATTTAAGTAATGGGACAAGTTTAATTTTGAATGTTCAAATGAAATGATACGAGGTTTGGTGACTCAAGACTCTACACTGGACTCTTTATAAATATGAAATGTTACAATTTCATAGGCATTGACTGTGTGTGAAATCCATTATCTAGCGCCGACTGCCACTCTGCCGGTTATCCAAGTCTTCCGATGTCACGTCCTGAAGTTGGTCTTCATCTTCATCATCATCGTCGTCTTCGTCATCTTCATCATCATCATCATCTTCGTCGTCATCATCATCATCTTCGTCATCTTCCAACCGCCTCACATTGTTGCGCTGTGTGCCAGTAGCACCCGTCTGCAAGAAGAAAAAGGTCCGTTCATGAAAGCGCTTAAGGAGGATACACGTCTGTAGGATTTGCCCAAAAAATGTATTACACAGCTAGGATTGAGGATAGTCATTGCCATGTGATGACCCCCGACTGTTCCATTCAGATTGAGAAGGTAAAGGCGCAGCCCTGCAATTGCTCCCTCACGCAACTGCTTGCTGGAAAGGCCTTCAACTAAAGGAAGCTCGAGAGCCCTTCTCGAGTATATTTGGCCTACACTTCCACGCTTGCCAAACGTCCTGAAAGGGGTACGAGTAACACGCCCTGTACCCCAGAACATGCGACCAGCCAGCCAAATGGCTGTGGTGTACGCAGTTATACTGCTGAGTGGGCAGTGGAGGGGATTTAAGAAACTCGCACCGTTGTTTCAACTGCCATGCCGGGAGGTCGAATCGAACCGGCAACCTATGGATTGCAAGTCTGGCGTACCAACAGTTACAAGATGGCAGGGGGAGGCGTTATCTGCCTCGCCTGGTATACAGGAGGTCGTGGGTTCGTTCCCGACCCCGACGCCTGCCGTATATTTGGAGTCCGCAATGTCTCTCTCCGCTTGCGGTCGCGTGGATTTTTCCCGGGTCCTCCGATTTTTCCCTCCCCATATAGGATCAACATCACACATTTAGAGCAATTGGCCGCTATAAATGTCCACGCGATAAGCCACTGCGTTGAGCTGTATCACTTGTGATGGCCAGGTAGCTTCTGAAAAAGAGCTATACGGCTCGGAAGGGCCTTAGCCTGGTAAAATAAAAAAATACAAAAATCTCAAGCGTTTGTTACCATGAGGCCGCACACGGTACCTGAGACCTTGCCATTGGCTGGGGCGAACCGGTGCCGTTGAGGGTGGACAGAGAGTTCTGCAGAACCGTGTCAAGGCGTGCCTGGTAGTCGGAGGGCCGCAGGGTATTGAGGAATGCCTGTCAACAAGAAACCCAACATTTGCATGCATATACGGGCATTTCAAATCTCCTCCAATAAATAATTCAAAATTTACAAGTTACGATTGCAAATATAAGATGCTCGTTAGCGACCTATGAATAAAAAGTGTAAATTGGAGTGTAGCGGTATCCGCATTGCGAACGGCAGTCTCTGTTCACGAGTTAAGACTTCACAAAGAATCTCCCCAAGACGTTGAGATAAAAAAAATATCGGACGTCACGCCGAACACCTTTTTGGGAACAAATTCATTTCCTGAACAAGTGGGAAGGAACTCAAATCTAGTTCGCGAAAAAGCTCTCGGCACGTGGAGCGAAACCTTCTGACGTCGCGCCCGACAACGTACGGTCACGTCCCCGAAAAACACGTCCAGTGAGCACAATCGTTAAACCTTACGCAGCCGCGTAACACGTGCTGAAAAGTAAAAACACAAATATGGCTTATCGCTGTCTTGGTCACCTCGAGGTCACTCTCCTCATTCACGGCGTGCATGTGATGGTAAGCTTGCGAGTACACCTCCAGCGCCTTGGCGTGAAACACCATCTCCACCGTCACAAAGTCGCACAGGATCTTCTGCACAGCGGACAGGGAGGGGGCCGTGCAAATCGGCACCGTCATCGCTGTCATCACTTTCTATATTGAAAACTCATTACTTTGGAGTTGTTTGTTTTTGTGTTTAGTTTGTTGTCCTCACACCCACCCACCCCCCCCCCCCTCCCTCTCCCCCCCCGCCGTACCTGGTGTGAGGTTTAACTCATGTTCGGCTGGTGCGAGGGTGGACACATGTTCGGCCGGCGCAAGGGTGCACTCATGTTCAGCTAGTGAGAGGGTGGACTTCACCTTGATGTCCTTGATTTTCTGCCGCTCAAACTCGTTGATGGTCTCCTCCAGCTGCCGGGACGAGCGCGCTGCGTCCACCGTGGCGCGCTGCAGCTCCGTCTCTGCCTGGGAATCACCGCGCCAAGAGCCGCCGTTCAGCGCGGACTTTGGGAACCGAATTCCTGGCCCTCTAATGGTGGCTAGATGTCATCTCCCTCGCCCCGGTACGCACGAGGCCGTGGGTTCGATCCTGAACCCGACGCCTGCTGAGTATTTGGAGTTTGCATGTTGTCTCTCTCCCCGTGGTCGCGTAGATTTTTATCGGGGTCCTCCGGTTTTTCCCTCCACATTTAGAAACATGCGTTTGGGTTATTTGTCTGCTATAAATGCCCACATAAGCCAATTCTTTGTGGCCAGGTCGCTTCTAAAAAAAGAGCTAAAAGCTCAGTGGGCTTTACCTGGTAAATAAAATAGTTTAGTTTCTGATTTTAAGCTTTGCCCACTGATGGATAAGGGTTTAATATTTGCATGTATATGGTGCTGCAAATGGATATTAAGTCTGCCAGTAGAGGCCGATTATGCTATGTGGTTTTTACTGCCTACAGAAGACGCGGAGTATACAAGTAAAGAAAACGAGGCATTTTGCTTGCGATGTTTACGAGGGGGATAACCGCAAAGGGTCATACAAAACTCGACACCAAAGGTGATTCGAGAAGGGTAAAGTCAGTCTTCGGAAATCAATGCTTTTGTCCAAACTTAGCCTCGACTTAAAACACTTAACGCTGGATGTCAGGAGTCCTCTGCCTCTTGTTACATCACATCGCAGAATTGGCATACCGGTACATGGAAATTGAGTTTAAAAAAATTCTGTTTTTTTGTTTCTTCCATGTGACAGGACTTTGTAGGATGGACGTTGAGATTTATAAGGGCACCGGGTGAATAATGTCTAAATTGGTCTGTAATACAATAGGCACTGATAAGGGGTTGACAGGTATGAATTGGTGACACTTGCGACACTTTCAAATGCCAGCCCTGTCTCATACACAGCTCCGCACGGCACTATGGGATGAATGAAATAACAGCCGGTGAGTGTGCTATTTGTGGGTTAAAAGCCGAAATGGTGCAATGGCATTACTCATGTGCAGAGTGCAACAATCATCTATGCAAACAGGTGCAGTGAGGTGACAAGAGGGCAGATTCCTGGGTCAGTATTAATATGCAGAAGCAACAGAATGTAACTCGGGGCTTTCCTACAATGAGATTCTCCATTAACAGTGAATAAATCATAAATTGTAACATCAAGAGCGGCAATACTGTGGAATGAATACCCATTTCAGTGCATTTACCAATGCATTTTAAGCGTTAAAAACGGCAGTGCTTCTGCAGATTTCTACTGGCCGTAGCCTTGACAGCTAATAAGCCTATAGGCAGCACGCAGACGACAATGTGCCCTCAACACATCTACAGTATTCCCTCGTTATTCACGAACTTGCTGTCCGTGATTTAAGTTATCCGCGTGATGAGAGAGAATGTGACGCGAGAAAGTGATTTATATATTTAAGGTAATTCATTACCTTTGGCCAGTATCATTATCCGTGAAATTTGCTATGAACGAGCATGTCCGGGACGTCTCCCTTGCCAATAACGAGGGAATCCTCTACTCTCTAAAAGCGCAGCGATCGCACCTGCACGCCGGGCAATACGTACCTTTCCCGCGCCGCTCTGAGAGCCAAAACAAAAGGTAATATGATCCCACGTTCTTCTCAGCGTTGCGACAAAAGCCCTGCACCACGTGTGCCCGCGGCGCTCGTCTCGCCCTCTCTCATTTAACACAACAACCCTGCCGGGCCGAGGATAAACCTGCTGCTGTTCGTGGTGAGCGGTGGTGTCCACCTCGACCTATGCACGTACCTGAGACTGGACGAACGGGAAGCAAGGTTAAGGGTAGAAAAACTGCAGTGTTGCCGGTAGATATGTCTTGTCGACACGGCCAGCTGACGCGTTAAAGACTCCGCTCGACGCACTGACAAATACGACGAGTGCTTAGATTTCGCTGGGAACGACAACTCGAGTTGCCTGCATTAAATGTGCATACGCGTCATCACGTGTCTACTGTGTGGAGTTGGCACGTTCTCTCCCCCGCGGTCGTGTCGACTTTTCTCAGGCGAGGTCTGCGCCAGCAAAGGATACGATATTGTGTCGGTCCGACGGGTTTCTCTGCCGCATCTTCTCTAGCTGCTGCATCTGCTTCGCCTCCCGGGTTTGCGACGTCAGCACGGCCTTGAGGTCCTCCTACACGGGGGAGCCGCGCGTCATCATCATCATCACCATCGCCACTTCATATTTATAAGGTGCCACAGTGGCGAGATGTGAACTACCTCGCCTGGTATACAAGAGGTCGTGGGTTCGATCCCGACCCTGACAATGCCTGTATATTTGAAGTTTGCGTGTCTCTCACCCTGTGGTCGCGTGGATTTTTCTCCAGGTCCTTCAGTTTTTCCCTCCACATTTAGAATTAACATGCATATTTGGCTGCTATAAATTTCTGCAAGATAAGCCACTTTGTGGCCAGGTCGCTTCTGAAAAAAAGCTATAAAGCTCAGCCGGCCTTATCTAGTAAAACATTTATTTTTTAAATGACAATAACGCGCCTCCCATGCAGTACGGCAACACATTCGCCGCTCGTTGCAGATGTTCACAATTCCAATCCAGTGGCCACCATAATTGTTACTACGGGTGTAATAACCATAACAACAACACTACACACTGACTGCTTCACAGTTCATAGTGGACGTCATTGCAATAGTACGCCATGTGTGCCAGTTTTAGGGTCCAGATTTGCTAAATATTCACAAATTACACCGCAAATTACTGAAATGGTATTATACGTAGCAGCAATCATCACCCACCACTAATGCCCCAGGTCATTCCTGCAAATGCGACTATGGCGGTCTGATTTTTCACCTGGGTAAACCAAATAAACTTGAAACTTGGATATAGCAGCTGGTATTGCAACAAAAATTCTCACTTTGGTCAAATAGTGCTGGCATCATGGTAAAAATGTCAAATTTTTTAACAATTTCTGCAATCTGTGTACAGCAATGACTTTCAGAAGTACACTAATTTTACATAATATAAATCAGAAGTTAACTAAATAATTAGAGCCCTGCGTGTATACACCATGGCATTAAGGCCTCACCACACTATATCGAACGTAGGGGCTGTATGACCATACTTCACCATGCTGGTCTGTTTGGGTTGGTGAAGCGGGAATTCAGGACCAATTTTACTCACCACTCATGTATCAAACTCGGGTCGCCAGTGTTCATAACAAAGTGTGTTAACCGCTGCGTCACCGCTTGACCCTCTTGAAATGAAAATACATTTTAAGGCGCAGCCCTGCACTTGCTTGCACATGCCACTGCTGGCGGAAGAGCCTCCAATAGAGGAAGTTCCAGACAGCCCCCTCGAAGAGGCTGTTTGAATTTCGACTTAAAGCTTTCGTGACTGCAAGGATTCATCTTCTTTGGTTCTTTCGGTAAAGTCACGTAGAATGAGAATAAAATAATAAATTGATAAAATAACACAATAAAAAATTATCACGACGTTTCGGCCACAACACAAGCGGCCTTCATCAGGTGAAGGGACGAGACTGTCTGGAGGACAGCGCTGGAGCGAACACAGCCAAGCTCAGACCGCGACCTTAAAGCTGTGTGAGAAGAAACAGAGCGCCTTGACAAAGGAATTAGCATAGAATTTAGCATTGGAATTAGCATAGAATTTAGCATTGAAATAGCTGAGTGATTAGCTTGTGACTGGTCACAGAAATGGCTATGTTAAAGTCAAAGCATACACATCCACAGATGCACCTAGTAGCTAATCACTCAGCTATTTTAATGCTAAATTCTATGCTAATTCCTTTGTCAAGGGGTGCCTCTGTGGAGGTGTACGCTTTGACTTTAACATAGCCATTTCTGTGACGAGTCACAAGCTAATCACTCAGCCATTTCAATGCTAAATTCTATGCTAATTCCTTTGTCAAGGCGCTCTGTTTCTTCTCACACAGCTTAAAGGTCGCAGTCTGAGCTTGGCTGTGTTCGCTCCAGCGCTGTCCTCCAGACAGTCTCGTCCCTTCACCTGATGAAGGCCGCTTGTGTTGTGGCCGAAACGTCGTGATAATTTTTTATTGTGTTATTTTATTTTATCAATTTATTATTTTATTCTCATTCTACGTGGTGACTTTACCGAAAGGACCAAAGAAGAGGCTGTTTGAACCGACTCGTTTTGTCCAGACGTCTGAGAAGGGGTGGGAGCACCCACTTAACCCCACAAGACACAACCTGCCGATCGACTTTAACTGTGCTTGTAATGCGTGACCTTACCCTTTTAATCTTGATGGTGGCTCCGTATGACTTTAAAGGTTCCACCACCTTGGCTTCGAGCCTCTCAACCTGTAAACGTGTGAAAGGAACGGTGCATTAATGTCAGAAGGGCTTGCCCTTATTAGTACAGTTTAAACGCACCTGGCTCCTGCACCTGCTGCGCCGACACAGTCTGTACCATGTGGGCACAACAAAGGATTACTGCGTAGATTTTCGCGGTTGTACTGCACGGCTCTCCAATCTGTTTTCGGGTTGTACCACGTGTTGTTTGGCATGACATCCATTTCGTTCCATGCGGTGGGAGTTCTACAGGTACTGATATAGCAGAACGTTGTAATTTAAGCACCCTATACCAATGCAAAGTTTAGTTTGACTATTAATTTAAATTCGAACAGTACACAAGCTGTTGTCAATACACTGCTGGATGAAGGCCCGTCCCATGCATTATCAGTTAAAGGGGGCATTGTTTGACAAATACTTGTTTTCAATGCACTCTTGTCTAAGCTACAAAGGTCATCTCTCCATCTACAACATACCTGTCAACCCATACGCTTTACCCGTATTCTTGTACAGGGAAATTGAGTTTTCAGGTCCACACGGCGTATAGCCGTTTAAAAATGGGCAAAAAACTAAATTGTCTATTTGTTTGTGTCTCTTACCTTGCGATGGGACTTTGTGGGATGAACGCTGAGATTTATAAGGGCACGGGGTGACCAATAATGTCTGAATTGGTCTGCAATAAGGTCAGGGGTTAGCGGGTATGCATATGTACATATCTAATCAAATGACGAACGGACAGGTGGCACCTGAGCCTGTCGATAGTCCTGCACTTTGGAGAGCTCCTCGGCGAAGGCCCGAAGGCCCATCTTGAGCGACGGGCGCTCCGTCTCCGAGTAGGCCATGAGCTCGCGCACCAGCAGGTCCGACTTGTCGCGCAGCCGCGCCGTTTTGCGCGCATAGCCGGCGCTCAGCTGGCACAGCTCTCCAAAGTGTTTCTCCACGGTGGTCACCGACAGCTGCACCGCCTTCGCCTGCGACTCCCTGCGCCGACACCGCGGCAAAAAAGCCACACACAGACACACGTACGCAGACACGTTCAGAGAGACACGCGCCACGTGTAGCAACAAACGTCATAACTCGATGCCTTGGATCTTTAGAGATTCAATCAATGGAGGCGCTTGTTACGTTTACAGATTGTTTTGGTGCCGCTGTTCAGTGGTCTTAACGAGCAGAGCATGATCCATATGCTCCGTTGTTCCGGTCCGCAGTCCTAGTTGGAAGAAGTTTTATCCTCCACTTGTGTCCGTGAGCGTATTGGCCGTGCGATGTCTGAATGCGATACAGGGGGGAGCGAGGCGCCAGGACATTGGTTGGGTTACTGATGAGGTCTTTGTTGCTAAGCCACACAAAGGTCCCCTGGACAATATTTTAACAGATTGTTGGGCCAAGTGCTCTTTGCGAGCACACATGAAGACCGACATGGCACAAGAGGGGGTGGTGTGACCAGCAACCACGCCCGCCCATCTTTGTCTCCAGAGAAGTGATATTTGCACATTGTACCAAGTACCCATTTATGGCTGAGTAGACCTTGTGAAGGCCCAAGAATCATATAAATCGGGTCATCAGATATGTAGCGCAGTACGCTAATCCAACGTTTTTACTTGTACATGAGAATACCAGGCACTAATAGGGAAACGGGTGTTAAGATTTGGTTTGGGGTTTAAAGATGTACGCTGTCAGTCCATATTTGTGTACTAATTTTTTGGTATTCCAGATCTGTGAATCTGTGATTCTATAGAAAACGGCTGTCATTCCACGGTTTTGTTCAATTTTAGCCTTCGGGTTTTAGATATACAAGCGGGGACTTAACTGTTGCCACTTTGTGCAATGGATATTTTGTTTCTGTTCTCTTTGTAAGTTTATCCAGTACAACAGTGTGTGTGTGTGGGGGGGGGGGGGTGGTTCTTGTTCTTGTCGAATCTTTAAAGTAATTATCCCCGAGTCTGCGTGGGATTTCTCAGGGGGTTTTTCCTTCCACCGATTCGCATGGTTGGCTACGTACGGTGCGAAAGAAGTTCAACGTACAAACTACACGTGTCAGCAAAACAATCTGCATCTACAACAAAAGGATTTGTACAAACATCCCAATCCGGCGGTGGTCCCTCCTTCAAAGGGCTCTTGAGACTCCGTGAGACTTTCGTTGATAAAGGTCAATGCCGTTGTTATAGCGCCAGTATGTAAATCATAATTTAAAACAATATATAAACCTGCCGTTGGTAAGTTATTCTTTCAGTGAACGCATTTCACTTGAACAACACGCTCAGATTTTTTTTATTTAATTCCGCATCATTATCAGTAATTTTCTCTCCGCCGCTGGATTACGCCACCTGCCGTGTCGTTACATGGAAGAAAACAATAGCAACAAAACTGAGCGATAATTTGAAGTTTTGCTGAACTTCTGCCGTTATTTGTGCGCAAAAAAAAACCCGCATTCCATGGAAATGGTCGTTGCTGGGCCGAGCCCCACTCGGGCCGCAGCCGATCCCCGACCTCGCCTGGTTTCTCCGCCGGAAACCCGAGCACCAAAATCGGGGCAGGGCGACCGCGCGACGGTGCCTTGGGCTCCGCGTACACAAAAAGTAAAAATTTAGTTTTTTTATATTAAATTAAATAAAAACACACACACGCACACAGATCGCGTTCTCACCTTGTCCTTGCGTCGGGGGTTTTGAAGCTCATCTTAAAATGTATTTGCGTATTATTATTGTTGTTGAGTTACAACAGAAGCCTACGTGTGGCGGTGAGATCGAGTGGCTCTGACGCCTCGCGTTGCCAGGGAGCGCTGCGCGCGGGCCCCGCCCCAAAGCCCTCTTCTGGAAGACGAAACGGACCAGACGAATTCTCTCCGTTCTAGAAGCGGAATGTTCCAGATTTGAAGCTCTCGTGACTGGCAAGGATCCATGTGCTCCTTCTTTGGTTCTATTCGGCAAAGTCACGTAGGTAACAAAAAAATAACAACAACAACAAAAATCACGACGTCACGGCCGCAACACAAGTGGCCTTCATCAGGTGATGATGAGTGACCTTCATCATCAGGTGATGAAGGTCACTTGTGTTGTGGCCGAAACGTCGTGATTTTTGTTGTTTTATTTTGTACCTACGTGACTTTACCGAATATAACCAAAGAATACTTGAAGAACAATTCCACATTTCGATTTAAAGCTTTCGTGACTGCAAGGATTCATCTTCTTTGGTTCTTCACGTAGAATGAGCATAAAATAATAAATTGATTGTTGTGTCCGAAACGTCGTGAGAATTTTATTGTGTTATTTTATTTTATCAATTTATTATTTTATTCTCATTCTACGTGACTTTACCGAAAGAACCAAAGAAGAACAATTCCACACCTCGTGCAGGAATAATTCACAACTCTTTGGTTCCATCGGTAAAGTCACGTAGGTATAGAATAAAAAATAAATCACCACGTTTCGATTGCAACACAAGCGATTCATCATCAGGTGGGGAAACCATAGGAAGATTTTCTTTTTTTTGCTGGTGGGAAATGTTTTCTTGCTGTGGTTTTCCCACCCGATGATGATTGCTTGTGTTGCAATCGAAACGTCGTGATATAATTTATTTTCCACCTACGTGACTTTACCAAAAAAAAACAAAGAGCATGGATTCCTGCAGTCACGAAAACTTCAAATCAAGATTCAAATCAAGATTTATGTACTGTGTTAAATCAGGCTACAGTCTACATTTTAGACTGCCAGTACGCTCACTCAGTTTAATAACCATTGCTACAGTCTACATCAGACTGCCAATACACTCTCCAGCTTAAAAAATCAGGCTAGTCTACATTATAGACTGTCAGTACACTCACCCAGGTTAATAACCATTGCTAGTCTACATTATAGACTGCCAGTACACTCACCCAGCTTAATAACCAGGCTACAGTCTACATTATAGACTGCCAGTACACTCACCCAGCTTAATAACCACTGCTACAGTCTACATTATAGACTGTCAGTACACTCTCAGGTTAAGAACCAGGCTACAGTCTACATTATAGACTGTCATTACACTCACTCAGGTTAATAACCAGGCTACAGTCTACATTATAGACTGTCATTACACTCACTCAGGTTAATAACCAGGCTACAGTCTACATTATAGACTGTCAGTACACTCACTCAGGTTAAGAACCAGGCTACAGTCTACATTATAGACTGTCAGTACACTCACTCAGCTTAATAACCAGGCGAGTCTACATTATAGACTGCCAGTACACTCACCCAGCTTAATAACCAGGCTACAGTCTACATTATAGACTGCCAGTACACTCACCGAGGTTAAAAATCAGGCTACAGTCTACATTATAGGCTGCCAGTACACTCACTCAGCTTAATAACCAGGCTAGTCTACATTGGACTGCCAGTACACTCACCGAGGTTAAAAACCAGGCTAGTCTACATTATAGACTGCCAGTACACTCACCGAGGTTAATAACCACTCACTCCGATTAAGCACCAGGCTACAGTCTACATTCGTGGTTTTTTGTTTCTTATTTTAATTTTTTTTAATTTGTATTCACTTTATTTTTATTAATTTTTCTATCTACGTGACTTTACCGAAAGAACCAAAGAAAATGAATTCATATTCTGCAGGAAGTCAAATTTTCATTGTTGCATTTCTTAAGCACTCTCCACACACCACATTTGTTCAGGACAACAGTCGGGAGTCTGTTTGAAGATACGTTTATTGTTCACTAAGCATGCAACTACCTTTCACCTTGAGCCCCGAAGTGAAGGAAATCATAGGCGTTTGCTTGCGACAAAGCCTATATCCTTAATGCAAACTAATTTACCTCTAGCAGTAGGGTATTCAGTTTGCAAAGGAATTATTTGTGTAAAAAAAATGAATCGTACAATGTGCACTATATATGAAGTGGCTAATGTTACGCACTAAGTATTTCATGTCAGTGGCAAATAGGAATACAGGGACTCCTCTAATTACGAACATTCGACTTACAAACGTTCAGAGATGTGAACAAACCTGTCCGTATGTCCAGTTGCCTGTTCGGACCGAGAGTCGTAAGTTCAACCGCCCCGCGCAATAGATGGCGGTGGTGGCATCTACATCTGCAGTACGTGAAGAACCAGTGGCATCTACATCGACAGATTATACAACTTTTAAAGCCATTCCCCGTGTTTAGTGTACATGCCGTACGTGTATGGATTCGACAGGAGTAAAGTTGGACTTACGAACGAATCGACTTACGTACAGACCTCTGGAACCCCCAACTCGTTCATAAGTAGAGGAGTCCCTGTATTTTTATGACCAGAAAAAGGAGTTCGTGTTTTAGTTCTCACACCAACTGCGGTTGCCAGCTCCGAGGTACAAAAAACTGGACATGTCATGGGAAGAAAAACATCTCATAAGACTACAACAGGAGAGAACTATGTCTTGAGTGGTACATTATTACAAAACTCACAAAAACTGGGGACTTTTCATTGTCCCAGGAGAATTCCCACTACCCCTGAAAAGACGACGTCCTGGGAAAAATCAGGACAGGTGGCAACTCCATTGCAAAACCTGGGTACAATAAGACGCTCGAGAAAGTAAGTAAGACGCAACCCGAACCTGTGAACGGTGTCAATAAAGTTAGACATATCTGGTCATGGCACAAAGCCACCGTATTTAGAAGATCCATCCCCAACTTTTGCTTCACAATAGAATGGGCGGAAAGTGTCTATAGTCCTAAGAATACGATACACGTGTGAACACAACTCCATACAGGTTTTTTTTTAGGTTAGATCGTGTATATAAACCCGCCACCACCCGACGATACATCTATATATTTACGCGATCTAACCCAAAAAAAAACCTGTATTATGGATATTGGTCGCGAAAACCTACGTGTTAAACTGACAATCAACTCCATCGCCTGAGGTTGCTTAACGGTGGGGGGGGGACATATACAAACTGAAGTCGATGCTAAACAAACTGTAAACAAATATTAAACACTAAACAGAGCGTCACGTTACGATTTGCTTTTGTTTGTATTGATGATATAGCTCTCGCCCATTACGTATGGGGAAAGGGAATGTAACGACCTTTTTTTATTTGATAATACGAATTTAAAAGGAGGGGATGCCAAACCTCAATCAGCCCCCTCGACGAGACGGGGCTGCGTGTAATGGGGAAATATAACTACGTTAAACACTTAACTATGCTTCCCTTTTGATGTAAAGCTTTCGTTACTGCAGTGATTCATATTCTTGGTTCTTTCGGTAAAGTCACGTTGAAGGGAAACAATAAAATAATAAACTTGACTTTACCGAAAGAACCAAGAATATGCTTCCCTTATACTTTTTGTGTTCAGTTTGTCGTCCTTCCTCCACACCTCCGATGAGCACGGTTGGCTACGGATGTTGCAAAAGAAGTTCAACATACATACATACATGCTGGAATGTCAACATCTCCCTGGTGCAACGTGAGAACAGTCATTTGCCTCCAAAACATGGGGGTTATTCCCAAGGCCAACACAGCCTCGCCCGGTGACAGTTTTAACACCTACAGGATGATCCATTCGTAGATATTCCATAAATTATCTGACGACCAACGATTCTCTTATCAACAGGCGAGTGCATATTGTAAACTAAAAACTGAACTAGTTTAGCAGGCAAGGCCGACGGAGCTAGATAGTAGCCCTTTCTTAGAAGCAACCTGGCCACAAATGATTGCACAACAAAGTGGCTTACGATGTGGAACTGTATAGTAGCTAAATAATCGAAATGCATGTTGATTCCAAATGTTTAGGGAAAAACCAGAGGACCGAGAATAAAATCCACACGACCTCCTGCATACCAGGTAAGGGAGTTAACATCTCGCGATAGTGCAGCCCCATATTGTGAAAGTGATGGCTCCATGATATACAAAGGAGATTGTTCAGAGATTTAATAAGTGTACTGAAATTAAGATATCTAGAGCCTGTGGAAAAAAAAGTAGTATTCCCTACGATTATTTTCTATATATATTTTTTGTGGTGTTATCCATAAATGGTTCACTCAATATTCGGCACATGGTCAACCGTCTTTTGCAAATCAATATTTGAATGGCTTGACAGATCCCATGTTTATCACCAACAGGGAGCAATCAGGCTGCGCGGGGAAAAAAAATCTTCCACAAACATCGGCGCGCCGCTCTGTTCAGACAACGGACGGGGGGCCCTGTCTCTTCATCGCCGAGACAACGTTCGGACCTCCTCGTCCCCTTGTCCAAAGCTGCCACATTTCTGGGAGCCTCAACCAGGACGCATTGGTGGCGAGCTAGGTGTCCCTCACACCTATGTGGGTGCTGAAAGGATCGAAACAAATGCGCCTATACGGGTGCGTTAAAGCTACGTACTAGAACCTACATAGTATCACACTCGCCATCTTCAGCATCCTCCAATGAGCTCACGCCTGTCTACCATCGCCCTCTCATCTAACTCTCCCTCCGCTCTGGCAAGCGAGGCTTTCCATCAAAGTCCCCAGTAAACCTTTGCTGTCCCCTGTTGTCTGGAACTCCCCTCCCAGCCATCCGTGCTGTCAACAACAGCTTGTGCATGTGTGAGTGCACGTGTGTAAGTAAACATTCAAGCATGCACGTGTATGTTGTACGCAAGTGTGTGCGACTGCGAGCGCGTGTTTCACCGTGGGTGTGTGTGTGTGTTGCGTGCTGTGTGGCGTGCCACGTGTGTATGTTGCTGTGTGCGTGTGTGTGCCCTCAGGTGCGAGGAACGTTGGCTGGACCCATGTTGCGCTGCTTGAAGTACGTGGTCAGCTGCTGGGGAATTTCGGCCAGAACTGCCCGGGCCAGTGCTTCCTTTGGCATCTGAGTGGCACAAACAACACCACAAGGAAACCGTTAGAACGCACAGTGGGAACGAGGCCATAAAGCATTGCCTGGAAATATTTCCGATAAAAATCAATGCCCACTCTCCGTCTCCCATCTCATCCATGCCACTCTCCCCCTCCCATCTTATCCACGCCCACTCTCCCATCCTATCCACGCGCCAGCCTCCATCTATCGTTGACGTCTCAATCCGTTTGCCCACCCGCCCCCCCCGGCGTACCTGCTTGAACTGCTTGTAGGGCACGAACTGGACGATGTCACGTGTGGCCGGCTCCCCCGCCACGGTGCGGAGGGGGCCCCCCCCGTCTCCGTCCAGCACCTCCATGGCGGTAAAATCGGCGGCGCCGACGCCGACGATGATGAGCGACAGCGGCAGGCGAGACGCGGCCACGATGGCCGCGCGCGTCTCCGCCATGTCCGTGATCTCCCCGTCCGTCACGATGAGCAGCACGAAGTATTGCTGCGAGCGAGCGAGCGCAGGGCGGAAAACGCAATAAGGGGGGAGAGGGGGGTGTTCGGAAAAAGCTAACGAAAAAAGAAATTCCACGATAGCCCCTTTTTTTCTTCTTTTTAGAACGGAAAGGAAAGAACGGTGGGGGGGGGGGGAATTATGGGGCAGGGCGCTCCGGTGGCGAGATGTTAACTACCTCGCCTGGTATGCAGGTGGTCGTGGGTTCCATACCAACCCTGTTGATGCATGTATATTTGGAGTTTGCATATATCCTCTGACCGTAGATGCATGGATTTTTCATCCGGGTCCTCCGGTTTTTCCCTCCACATTTAGAAATCAACATGCGTCTAGAGCATTTGACCGATTTACATTTACACGTGAAAAGCCACTTCGTTGAGCGATCATTTGTGATAGTCAGGTCACTTCTGAAAAAGAGCTGTATAACTCAGTGGGCCTTACCTGGTAAAATAAAAAAAAAGCCTCGAGCTTAAGTTACAGGCTCAAAATAACGACGACGACAGTAACGTGTGGAAAGGCCATTGATAATCAACAACTCCCCTGCTCCCGCACATACAGCTCTCCCCCTCAAATGGCTCACGTCTATCTGGTGTACGATTTCGGAACGGGACTCGCGTCAAAGGCCATTGCTACTGTAAAATGGTAGAGCGGATAATCGGGTCCAGTGCCGTGTCTGCGGCCTCCGTCTATCACAGCGACCATAGAGGGAGAGCAGGCGTAGAAAGTTTGACTTGCATCCCACTGGGGTTTTTTTGCACACAGCGTTGGTGTACGGTGCTTTTTTCAGGAATATTTTTGCCGTTTTTTTTTCCATGGATTTTCTGTTTGCACAGTCACGAAAGCTTTAAATCAAAATGTTTTTCTGTGTTCGTGTTTTTGTGTTTTTGTTTGTTGTGGTTGCACCCGATTCAAGAGCCGAATGGCTCACAGGGCTGTATCAAAATAAACTGAACTGAACTAAGCAAAGAGGGAGGAAGCGTGGCTTTGTGTCTCGTGATGCCAATGGCGGTGACATGGCGCGGTGCCAAGCGCGGTGCCAAGCGCGGCGCCCACCCACCGTGGCTGTGGGCAGCTGCTGGGCGGCGGCGGCAAAGCGGGCGACCTGCTGGATGATGGGAGCGAAGTTGGTGGGGCCGTAGAAGCGTATCTGCGGCAGGCAGTTGCGGTACGTTTCCACGATCCCCTGCACGCCTGTCGTACGCGCGCGATGGCAAGCGAGCGAGTCATCGCAGTCCGTCGAATGGAAGCGCGACATTTGGCATTTCGTGTGCCACTCTTACAGCACGAGGTTATCACGAAGGCGCTGTGTTTCACAGACACAGCCTGCAGTAGTTTCACAGCAGTGTGGGGGAGGGAGGGGGGGGGGTGGCAGGGGGCAATGTTTTTAGGAAAATCCCAATTGAATTCAGCAAGTACAATTAAAATTTGGCTACTGTAGACCAGGATGCCGGACGCACAATGGCCTACTCTTGCCAACTTACGTCACGGGATCTGTAACGTACACTGTGAAGCGGACGACGCGCATCACATGGTTAATAACAGCTGCAGTATTAACCAGGGTGGCCTGCCGGATTTGAACCGCGAACCTCTGCAACAAGTGGCGAGCGCCCTACTGCTGCAACTCGTCACCGCCACAGGTCCCCACTGCCCAGACATCTCACCTTTGGGTACCGCCTGAGACAGTAAAACTTTAATACCGCAGGCATATTAAAACGTTAAGTTTCGTGGCTCAACATTCTCAAAACGAAATCGGCTATCACACACCATATTCTATGGATAACACACACAAATTGGTGTGTGGGGGGGGGAGTGATAGCTTATAATCTGGAGCTTCTTATAAATAGAGAATGCAACACGATTAGACGAGTGTACGGCAAGCGTGAGAATACGAAACAAAGGCGATGGATGGACGGCTTGCGGAGGGGGGGGGGGGCTGAACCAGCACTGACCGACGCAGTAGGGGTTGGTGGGGTTGAAGTTGAGAGCAAACTCGTGCGACACCTGCAGGCGACACAGGAAGCCCTAGCGTCATCATCTACTTCAATCGTAGCCCTTGGCCAGGTCCGACTTAAGTCTGTGGATTTCGTTTAAACCGTTCACTTAAATCGGTAAACTAAAGCAGTCAAACATTTAGTCACTACAAACTTGACTTGAAAGCTTTCGCGGCTGCACGAATTCACATTTATGGGGTCTTTCGGTAAAGTCACGCGGATAGGTTCAAAGAAAATAACAAAATAACAAAAAAAACTACTACGCTTCCATCGCAACACAAGCGGTCCTGATGATGACCACTTGTGTTGCGATCGAAACGTCGTAGGTGTTTTTTGTTATTTACTTTGAACCTATCTCCGTGACTTTACGAAAAGACCCCAAAAAATATTTAGTCACTTAGTTGTTGAATGTTCGTGTAAGGGGTAGCGGGGAAGTGTGCCCCTCCCCCCTCCTCCACCTCCCTCTCCCCCACAATATTACCAGGTCAGCCAATCACAGTGAAGTCACGTAGCAGTGTGGTTTCGTGCCAAAATTCGACCGAAATAAAACTACCACGTGGCCCGACGCAAAGACAAAAAACGAATATTAATACTGGTAGGAACCTCCTGGTTCCTACCAGCCCACAGGGGATTATTGTGTCCGTCCGTCGTGCATCCAAAAATAGGAGGGGTGGGGCTGGGTGGAGAGGGGAGGGTGGGGAGGGGCTGGGTGGGGAGGGAGGGACTGGGTGGGGAGTCGAGGGTGGGGAGGGGCTGGGTGGGGAGGGTGGAGAGGGGCTGGGTGGGGCTGGGTGGGGGGTGGGAGGGGTGGGGCTGGGTGGGGAGGGGCTGGTCACCCCGTGGTGCCCTTATAAAAATCAACAATTAACCTACTCACGCCGGCTTGTGCCCACCCTCATATTTGCGGAATACACCACGCCGCCGTTGACCCTGGCCATTGACCGAGCAACTCAAAGTTCCAACCAGCTCCCTCCGCAGGAATGTGTTCGTACCGACTGTGGAAACCCGAAGGATTTTTCAGGTTATCCTTCAGCCAGCAGCAATGTCAGGCAGTGGACAAAACAAAAGAGAAAGCATCATTTCACCAGACCTGGAAGGTTGGAGGGATTTGAGCACCAAATCCAAAGGCAGGAAACATCTTGTCCCTGGAACGGTGAAAAACAAGTTTAATTATTTTTCACTGAACTGAGGCCTGATGTAATTTTAAATTCATGTCAGATTTAACGGCTTGTTTTTTTTGGGGGGGGTGCAGAGATCGTGCGAGCTCACTGTGGCCAGACACAAGGATGCACAAACACAGCGATGTCACCACATACACATTAAACACAACAACAGCATGACAATACTAAACGATGCTTTTTGGTATTTTACCAGGCAAAGCAGCCCACCGAGCAATTATCTCGTTTTCAGAAGCGACCTGGCCACAAATGATGGCTCTAACAAAGCGGCTTATCATGTGGACATTTATAGCAGCCAAATACTCTAAAACGCACGATGATTCTAAAAATGTGGAGGACCCGTAGAAAAATCCACGCGCCCACAAGGAGAACATGCAAACTCCAAATACACGGGCATCAGGGTTGAGACCGAATGCACGACCAACTGCATATCTCAGGCGAGATAGATAACAATGCGCTACCACGGTGCCCCAATGTGTACAAATGTGTATAAATACGCATTTGTAAATACATATTTAAACCGACGGATACCTTCATACTAACATGCATTGGTTAGCAAACTGAAATTGCAATCCAGAGGTCTTGGGTACGAATTCCCGGCGTGGAAGTTGAAGCAAGTTTCTCAGATCCACTCTCCTCCCCTCTCCCCACCTCTGCCCACCCAGCAGCAGACCAAAGCGACTTGGTAGGCAACTCACGGGTGGTGGGGTAAAGTGTGAGTACTCCCACCCCTTCAAAGACATCTGCCCAGCGTGGAAGAGGAAGAGTAGGCCAAACACCTTCTGCCAGGAGTGAGTGGCATCGGCAGGGCTACACCTTTCCCCCTTTGGAGGTTAACCGTGGTTGGCTGGTGGATTCTCTGACCCCCGCCATAGGAATAGGGAAATTCCACCACTGGCTCGGGGCTCTATAATGGAGATGTGCAGTGCTCCACGTTCGTTTGCGAGGGAGTCACGTTTTGACTTTCGCATTAGCTACAAAAACAAAGATCCACCAGAGGGCCTTTGTTGGGCGATTGGGGCAAGTGGCGTTAGCGAACACCCATGAGGGTCAGCATTTGTGCACAAGGGGGGGTTGTGGGGGGGGGTATGGCCAGCAGCGCGAATGATTGCACACTTGCAGCAGGTGCCGAGTTAACCGAAGGGAGGAGGTGGCCTAGGAGCTGGTTCAGAAAATCGTCGCTAATGTTAAGTCGTGGCCGGGAATCCGTAGCAACAACAACCACCGCCATTCGCCACTCGGTGAAGGTGACATCACCACGGCACTTGTGCCAAGCTACGTGGACTTTAAGGCCACTTGAAGTGTCGAACGCTCGCTGGCAGGTGGTCACGGGACAGACCCAGGTGCCATGGGTTGACTGACTGAGATGACTGGCAGATGCACCACAACGGGCCTGTGTGTTTTATTGATATTAAATGGGGGGGGGGGGGGGGGGGGGGGGGAGGACCCCCACGTGGCATTCTATCCAGAGATCCTCTGGACGTAGGGGGCGGGGTGGGGGGTGGGCCAAAGCACTCACGTGTCATAGTCCTGCACCACCATGCCCACGGACCACAGGGCCTCCAGATACTCGTTGAGTCCCGTGGGGCTGAGGTAGTGCAGCGAGTCCGGGGAACGCGGGTCTCCGTTGGAGCCCGTGAAGTCGATCCCCACCTGTGTCCGGTCCGCACGAGACGCCCGTCACCCCGTCACCGTTTTACCAGAATTCACGAGGCAGAACTTTTATGTTCGTCGGAGCTTTAAGTCTCGGTCCGGCGAGCAACCCGTGGAGATTTAGTCGAGGCTTAATGTCCGCGGATTTCATCGATGCATTCTCTTTTAGTCCGGTCGACTAAAGTGGTCGCGCGCTCAGGTCGGACGCTCTTTAGTTGTTGAATGTTGGTGAGGGGTGCGAACAATTTCCCTTCTCCCCGCCAATACTGTCAGGTCAGGCGCTCGGTAAACCAGGTCAATGTTTAGACACAAATCGACACTTTCAAAGCGTACCACACGTTCAGTCTTCCTCGGTGCACTGCTGTCCCGAATAACGTTGCTAAATTATCTTGGTCTAAGTCGTCATTCACACTTGTTCATCTCATCGCAGTCAGTCTTGCTTTGGGTGTTTGTTTTTGCGGGCGACCAGTCATAGCCATCGACTTTTTTGATGAATATTTCCATCGCCAATCTCGTTCACAAAATGAACACTCTCCCCCTGGGGCTCGCTCTGTTGACCAGTGAGCAATATGAGTAGCAGACAGAGAACTTCCACGTCTTAATCTCCCCAGCTGTTATTAAATTGCTCTTCATTTCCTAAGGCTCATGCTGGGAAGTGAGGAGAGAAAGTGGGAGTGGGAAGCAAGTTAATCGCCACTGTAATATAACAACCCGGGGCCGAGTTTAAATTCGAGGGCAGATTTAGGAAAGGTTAAATCAAACTCACCGTGAAGTTGATCTGACAGCCGCCCATGATGTAATCCAGGAAGGAATAGGCGACATCCACCTATCGAACAGCCAAGATCGGTATAAAACAACAACGCCGCCCCCACTCATCCGCTCGGCCACGGGATAGAGCAGAGTGAGCAGTTAACCACAACTCGTGCCGACATGCCGCGCACATTGGTGTGTGCAGCCTGTGCCGAACACAATACCACCACGGGACACAAGCGGCTGCCGTCATGCGAGAAGAATGCTGTGAGACAGGAATCCGGCAGACTCGATGGCATGGCGAGTGGAACGGGGAGGCCGGGAACGACCAAGAAAAAATAAAAAAAGACGGGACTGATGGAGAGGAGGAGAGGCCCTCATCCAGCAAATACCTTGGCCGATCGGAAGCGGATCTTCCCCGAGTTTTTGTAGCTGCTCTTTTTCTTCTTCTGTGGGTTGATGCAGTCGATCTCCACCTGCCGAGGTCAGAAAACAATATTTGGCGTCACTTCAGACAAGACTCAAAATCGCCCTGCGTGGCTGCTGCTGCTGCTGCTGCTGCCGCCGTGGTGCAATGCGCAGGGCAAGCTCACCGGAGCTGCCACCTCGGGGTCGCCGATTTGTACTCCCGGGCACAGTGGTTTAAACGGCGGTGCAACTTTCCAAAAAGCTGGGTAATCCCACCTCTTCAAAAGACGTCTTGCCAGCGTGGAAGAGTAGGCAAAGTATCCTCCAGAGAGGGAGCTCACTGGTTAAGAACCATTAGCCAGGGGTTGGCTACGTACGGTGCGCAAAAGAAGTTCAACACACGTACAGAACGTCAAAGAAAGCAAAGGCCTAAGCAGTCGGCAGCACGTGCCCTGCATGCGAAGGACACGTGCGTTCGAAGCCCTGCGTGCGGTCCGGGCCACACCAAAAAGGAAGAACACCCAGCGCAAGTAAGGAGGGTGCGGAAAATGAGACGTTCAAGAGCAACAGAAAAATTAAAAATCCATCTCACCGGAGTCGTCTGAGCTTCGAGCAGCTTTTTCATGCAAGTCTCAAATTCCCCAATGAGGTCATGTGATCCGTCGTCATCAGCGTCACTACAGGAGACCTGGCAGATGGCGGAGACAGGAGCAGGACAGAGAAGAGACGGGGAGCGGGAGGGAGACACCGCAGCAGACAAAGAGACAGAGAGCGAGAGACAGAGGGGGCAATGGGGGGGTGGTGGTGAGCGATGTTACGCGAGCCACACGATCTCTCACCGCGCCGTCGCGAGCTTTGAGTAGCACCGTGGCCGTCGTCTCGGCCTCACCGATGAGGTCCGAGCTGCCATCCTCGTCCATGTCCATGCACGCCACCTGCGTGACGCACGCACGCACGCACAACGTGCACAAAGACAAACGCACGCACGCACAAAGGTCCCCTGTATAGACTTTTCGTGCAAGTGCTGTTTAGCGAGGGTCTATGAAGGCCGGCATGGCACACGACGGGGGTGGGTCGCCAGCGCTTACGCCCCCGGGGCTGCCTTTGTCTCCCTAGTGGCGATGTTTACACACTGCACTCGGTACTCATTTGAGGCCGAGTCGACCTAGGGCAGGCCCAGGACAAGTTCAGATAACCGTCACTGGCGTTGGTGGTCATGAACGGGAATCATCGAACTCGGGTTGCCGTGTTCCAAGTGCATCACGCTAACCGCTACACTACAGCTCCCCACTCAAGCAGCCACACTCACGGACACGCGCACACGCAGCAAACTCTCGCCTTGGCACTCCCGCAGTCGAATAGACAGGTGGGCAGACAGAAGACGGGCACGGATAGACAAATAGAGAGAGAGAGGTTGATGGACGGACGAACAGCTGGACAAAGGTTTCACTCCACCTTGATGGGTCGATCCAATTCACCGTTGCAAAGGCTCTGCAGTGATATCTGGAACGTTTTCCACTTCGGGTTGAGGTTATTTTTCACCACCTGGTGAAAAAAAAAAACCGCACAGATTGTAATAACTCACAAACCAAAATTAAGTCCGGCCTCAACGATTAAACGTCATGCCGGCATGATTACGAGCACAGAGGCGATCTGCACAAAGCCAGAACGTAATTGAATTCTTGAAATCGCTGGGCATCTTTTTCTCGTTTTCATTACCTCCGTGCGGTGAACCAGCTGCCACTTCCCGTCGAGCCCTTGTTTGTAAAATTCCAGGAACGGATCAGACTTGCTCATGAAGTCCTGCGGGACAAATGCGTTTGTTACGAGCGCGGCAACAGAGCCCGCCGACCATCCCGTGCCCTCACATCGGTGGGCGAGATGTTAACTACCTCGCCTGGTGTACAGGAGATTGTGGGTGTGATCCCACAATCTCCTGTAGAGAGCATGTCTCTCTCTGCCCGTGGTCGCATGGATTTTTCTCCGGGCCCTCCGATTTCCCCCCCCCCTCCCCCCCCCCCCCCCCCCCCACATTTAGAAGAATAAACATCACGAGTTTATTCTCCCGCCTCTTCCAAGACCGTCTGGCCGGTGTGTAAGAGAAGGTCAAATCTACCCTCTTACAGGAGCTCCCCAAGAGCTCCCTCTAGCTGTCTTAAAATGTCAGCCCCCACACGTCACCTTCTTGTCAAGGTTCGACGCTTCCACCTCCATGGTGAGCACTCGGTTGTCCTTGATCTCTTCTGCCATGACCTGTGCTCGTTCACGTAAAAAAAAAAACAGGCAAAAAAACAACACGGGGTCGATTTTTTTAACGTGCAACATGTGATGCAGTAGAGAAACTCCCCCGCTCAACGCGGTTTTCGCTTAACGCGAAACTTTTCCCGCGTTAAACGGTGGATTACTGTACGAGACTCAATCTGGGGGCTCCTCTCCACCACTGACGAGTTCCCTTGGTGTCGAGATGTTAACTACCTCGCCTGGTATGCAGGAGGTCGAGGGTTTTATCCCGACCCTGACGCCTGCTGCATATTTGGAGTCTGCATGTTCTCCCTGAAGTCGTGTGGATTTTTCCACGCGACAAGCCCACTTGGTTGAGCTATAAATTGTGGCCAGATTGCTTCTGAAAAAGAGATATAGAGCTGAGTTGGCCCTTACCTGGTGAAATAAAAAGTAGTTTACAATTTTGTTTATTTCTCGTCTTGCCTCGGTCAACAGACGGGGTGTCAATCAAGGTATCGTATTCGAACGGAATGGCTCATTTGCTCAAACAAATAAATCGTTTGGCACGTACACAAAAACTGACAGCACCATCAGCAAGCGTGCTGGAAACGAGGGCAGCGTGTCCGAGTACGTTCCACACCGTGGGTACTCGGGGGGAGCAATCCTCCTTCATGGGAAGGAAGACGGACAAATGACTTCCACCCGAGTCACAGCGCTTAAAATCGGTGGACGCGCTACTGCGCGGGGTTTTTCCGCGGTTAATCCGGCTCGGCTCTCCTCTGCGTCTTCACGGGTTGGGCTGCCGTTGGCCTTTTTCAGGTTTACCGTCCGACACTTCACTCCACCTGCTGGCAGCTTCCTCAAAGTGTCCAAAGCACCCGACGCGTGAAGAAGGCCCCCCCCCCCCTCGCCCAAAAAAGCACGCGGACCGAAACGTCGGACATCGTGCCGAAAACAACGCGTGGCGTAAAAACGACAACACGTCGGACGGACGGGGAAAGGGGGGTGGGGGTGTGGGGGGGGGGGGGGGGGGGGGTGGTGCGAGCGACGTGCCGGTTACCGTTCCTCGTGTCATCGCGTACGTACCGTTATGGTTCCCTTTCCGGCCGGCTTCCCGTTTTTCAGAAGCAGGGGAACCGTCATTTTCTTACTCGACACCACCTGCAAGAGCGATGCACCGTCAACAGAGGGCACCGCGACAAACACTCGGCCACGTTCGGGCAGCGCAAGGAATCCGTTGCTGCTGTATACAGCGCAGTAAAGTGGGACTGCCTGGCGCTTGACATTTCTTCGCAGCTTGGGCACGTAGGCCAACAGGGTCAGCCTTGCACGCGGTTCAGCATGCGGGTTTCAAGGAGCGCGATTTTACATCTCTTTCCAATGTTTTTTTTTCTTCCTCCAGATTTGGGAAGTCTCCTGAAATAAGCCCCGTTGTTACATGTATGTTGAACTTCTTTCGCACCGTACGTAACCAATCGTGCTGATCAGAGCTGCGGGAGAAGGGCAACACGGTATATAACAATAGTTGATATTGCACATTTGGTACTTATTCTAGCCTGTATAAGCACAAGGCAATCACGAAGGCGCTGTGTTTCACAGGCGAGGATAGTCTACCAGGAAGGGGGCGATGTTACGATGTAGAGATTTTAAACCAAATGCTAACTTCCACATTGAGCAAATGTGGACAGCTAAGATGGGGTCTACTCTTTTTCAAACAAAGTCACAGGATCATCGAGGTCCACTGTAAAACAGACCCAGGTGTATTTTTTTAATTAACGTGTGTATGAAGAACTTCAGGCACCGTACGTAGCCAAGGACAACAACCTAAACGCAACAACAAGCAGTTCTTAAAGAAACAAGTCAATTGAAAGACACCCGCAACGTTCACCGACACCTGCAGCGCTAACCGGGGTGACCCGCCGGTGGCTCGATCCGCAAACCTCTGCAACGAGCGTGGTCCGTTGCTCGGCCACGCGCCACCGACCGGCATCGAACTCGGGTTGCCGGGTTCAAAATGCATCGCTACACTTCCGCTCCCCACGCAAGCAGGCACGCTCACGGACACGCACGCACATGACCGCGTGAGACTATGTGAGGCTTTCTACGGTTTTGTTCTACAGAGGCGTTGGGCGGTGCGTTGGGCGGTGCGTTGGGCGATGCGTTGGGCGATGCGTTGGGCGATGCGTTGGGCGATGCGTTGGGCGATGCGTTGGGCGGTGCGATGGGCAATGCGTTGGGCGATGCGTTGGGTGGTGCGATGGGTGCCCCCGCCCAGCTCACGAGGACAAACACCGTTCCCCCGGGAGGCATTCGGGCGGCGCTCTCGAGCCCAGCCGAGTCCGCCGTCGCGTGCCCTCACCTGGCCCAGCGAGCACTCGGCCGCTCCGAGGAAGTCGTCGTCGGCCAGCTGCACGCTGGCGTTGTCGAGGTCGTAGACGGTGAGGCGCAGCTTCTGCACCTGCTCGAAGTAGTAGTCGAGGGGGATGCGCTGCGAGAAGCTGGGGCTCTGGCAGTTGTTGATGCGCTCGGTGCGCCCGATCTGATGAGAACGATGGAACGAGAAAAGGCGAAGGTGCAGCACCGCATTTGGAGAACGTTATCGCCCTCGCGCAATATGCAGGCGGTCATGGGATCGATCCCGACCCCGACGCCTGTATATTTGGAGTTTCCCCATGGCCGCGTGGATTTTTCTCCGGGTCCTCCCAAATGTTCCCTCCACACTGAGGATCAACGTGCATTTAGAGTACAGGCAGTCCTCGACTTACAAGTGCCCGCACTTACGAACCAGCGTCCATGAAATATATATCGTTTGTTCACATCGACTTAAAACGCGAACTTGCGCTTGCAAACTGAACATTGGCGGACAGCGAAATCTGAAGTTGTCGCGGGCCCACTCCACCTCCCCCACCGTTCACCAACCCGCACTGACTAGCTTGGTGAAGTACGGTCAAACAACCCCCATGACGGACACGGTGTGAGGAGGTGATGGTTGCGACAATAATGATGGAAATTATGATAGGGTTACGATGACGATTCGATGGTGATGGTGGCGATGATGAGTTTACTGTGGCGACGGTGATGATGAAGGCGACGACGGTGACAAAGGCGACGGTGATGACGGAGGTGACGACGGTGATGACGGAGGTGACGAGGGTGATGACGGAGGTGACGACGGTGATGACGGTGGCGACGACGGTGATGACGGAGGTGACGACGGTGATGACGGTGATGACGAGGGTGATGACGGTGATGATGACGGAGGTGACGACGGAGGCGACGACGGTGACGACGGAGGCGACGACGGTGATGACGGAGGTGACAACGGTGATGACGGAGGTGACAAGGGTGATGACGGAGGTGACGACGGAGGTGACGACGGAGGCGACGACGGTGATGACAACGGTGATGACGGAGGCGACGACGGTGATGACGGAGGCGACGACGGTGATGACGACGGTGATGACGGAGGCGACGGTGATGACGACGGTGATGACGGAGGCGACGACGGTGATGACGGAGGTGACGACGGTGATGACGACGGTGACGACGGAGGCGACGACGGTGATGACGGAGGTGACGACGGTGATGACGGAGGTGACGACGGTGATGATGACGGTGATGACGGAGGCGACGACGGTGATGACGGAGGCGACCACGGTGATGACGACGGAGGTGACGACGGAGGCGACGACGGTGACGACGGAGGCGACCACGGTGATGACGACGGTGACGACGGTGATGACGGTGATGACGGAGGCGACGACGGTGATGACGGAGGCGACCACGGTGATGACGGTGATGACGACGGTGATGACCGAGGCGACGACGGTGCCGACGAGTCACCTCCACCCACGCTCCGCCCGTTTCCAAGAGCACGGCGCACAGAGGGTCCGACTTGGAGCCCGCGTCCTTGTCCAGGAGATTGTCGCACGAGACGCTGAGCTCCACCTTGCTCACACAGTGCGCCATCTGCACACGTCGCGACAACACCGGAACACAGGCGCACCACGGCGTGTGGGCGTAGTCGCATAGGAGGGGTCGGTTACACGAGCCGGGCCGCCTTAAAGGTCAAACTTGCAGTGGCGCGTTGGCCCGGGATCATGACGATTCGGCCAGCGAGCTGCATTTGTCAAAATGCACACAATCATCGCGGCGAGTCGATCGGCAGGTCGGCGTGGCCGGCTGTAGCGTGGCGGGGTGGGGGGGTACTTCCACCTCGTTCCAGCGGCGACTGGCCAAATTGCGCCCCTTTGGATCTCTCGCGAAGGCGCTTCCGTCGGCGGCAGTAGCGCGAGAGCAACAATGCCAGGGCTGAGCCTCAACTTGTCCTCTGCGACGCTGACATTCTTTGTTGTTGTTGTTTTCACGGCGTGCAGCGCTTCGCACTGCCAAGCAAAATGAGGCCGCTTTTTTTTACGCAACTTCAGCCGCGATGAGAGCCACATCTTTACGGAGCCTGTGAATGCGCGACTCGGGAAACTGCCCCCCCCCGCGGAGGAAAGCGAATATCTGCCCGAGATTCAGTGGTGGCCGGGGGGGGGGCCATACACAATGCTCCACATCTCCCAGCCACCCCAGATAGCTATGTGGACACCGACCTTGGCTACCTGCTAGCCCACTTTCAAAATAATTTCCCCGCGCCTATTAGAGATTTTAAGTTGTACAAAAAACATAAATACCCAGCGTAGCAGTCAACGCTCACTCAACCCGGGTATCGACCCGTATGAAATGTTGTTGCTGTTACACAATGGCTTTCAGCCTCTTTGTTAATTCACGCCTGGGGGGTGTGTGAGTGGTGTGGGTGGGTGGTGTGTGGGTGGTGTGGGTGGGTGGTGTGTGGGTGGTGTGTGGGTGGTGTGTGGGTGGTGTGTGGGTGGTGTGTGGGTGGTGTGTGGGTGGTGTGTGGGTGGTGTGTGGGTGGTGTGGGTGGGTGGTGTGTGGGTGGTGTGTGGGTGGTGTGTGGGTGGTGTGTGGGTGGTGTGGGTGGGTGGTGTGTGGGTGGTGTGTGGGTGGTGTGTGGGTGGTGTGGGTGGGTGGTGTGTGGGTGGTGTGCGAATGGGTGGGTGGATGTGTGGGTGGTGTGTGTGGGTGGTGTGGGTGGTGTGGGTGGGTGGGTGGTGTGGGTGGGTGGGTGGTGTGGGTGGATGTGTGGGTGGTGTGGTTGGGTGGATGTGTGGGTGGTGTGGGTGGGTGGATGTGTGGGTGGTGTGGGTGGATGTGTGGGTGGTGTGGGTGGGTGGATGTGTGGGTGGTGTGGGTGGGTGGATGTGTGGGTGGTGTGGGTGGGTGGATGTGTGGGTGGTGTGGGTGGGTGGATGTGTGGGTGGGTGGATGTGCGGGTGGGTGGATGTGCGGGTGGCTGGGTGGGTGGGTGGATGTGCGGGTGGGTGGGTGGATGTGCGGGTGGGTGGGTGGATGTGCGGGTGGGTGGGTGGATGTGCGGGTGGGTGGGTGGGTGGATGTGCGGGTGGGTGGGTGGATGTGCGGGTGGGTGGATGGGTGGATGTGCGGGTGGGTGGGTGGGTGGATGTGCGGGTGGGTGGGTGGATGTGCGGGTGGGTGGGTGGGTGGATGTGCGGGTGGGTGGGTGGGTGGATGTGCGGGTGGGTGGGTGGGTGGATGTGCGGGTGGGTGGGTGGGTGGATGTGCGGGTGGGTGGGTGGGTGGGTGGATGTGCGGGTGGGTGGATGTGCGGGTGGGTGGGTGGGTGGATGTGCGGGTGGGTGGGTGGATGTGCGGGTGGGTGGGTGGATGTGCGGGTGGGTGGATGTGCGGGTGGGTGGGTGGGTGGATGTGCGGGTGGGTGGGTGGGTGGATGTGCGGGTGGGTGGGTGGGTGGATGTGGGGGTGGGTGGGTGGGTGGGTGGATGTGGGGGTGGGTGGGTGGGTGGGTGGATGTGCGGGTGGGTGGGTGGGTGGGTGGATGTGCGGGTGGGTGGGTGGATGTGCGGGTGGGTGGATGTGCGGGTGGGTGGGTGGGTGGATGTGCGGGTGGGTGGGTGGGTGGATGTGCGGGTGGGTGGATGTGCGGGTGGGTGGGTGGGTGGATGTGCGGGTGGGTGGGTGGATGTGCGGGTGGGTGGGTGGGTGGATGTGCGGGTGGGTGGGTGGGTGGATGTGCGGGTGGGTGGGTGGGTGGGTGGATGTGCGGGTGGGTGGGTGGGTGTGTGGGTGGTGTGGGTGGTGTGGGTGGGTGGGTTAAGGCCGAGCCACACGCGTCTCCGTTAGGACGGGGGGGGGGGGAGATGTTTCACCATACTTGACTACGCTGGCCATGGGAGGTGATGGTTGTTGGTGGGTGGACGCGTTGGGACATCACTCGCCACTGCAGTGGCCACGAATCCAGGCCCCATTTTGCCGGATTACAGTCCGAGCGCAGTGCGCTAACCACTATGCCACCGCTCCTAAATAACGCTCCACAGGGTGGCCCAGACGTCTTGTGACACCCCAATTAATTGACCCCGAACATGTTTACCCTTTGCATGTTCACTTCTGCGTTTCAAATAAAGCTTACTTTAAAAATATATATTAAGTTTTAGAGAACTAAGTTTGCGGGGGGGGGAGGGGGGACACAAGACATCTGGACCACCCCTTGTACAGTGCATAACTTTTCTCACTTTGGGAGCGACACACACGCGCGCGCACAAAAAAAAATCGCTCGATGTTTCAAGAGGCCAGCATCGTGCGCGTGAAATACGTTGAGACGGTGGCGCTTGAAGGAATAACGTCAGCCAAAGCAGGAGCCGCACGTTGTGACAGACAGCCTGCCACCATAGACTTACCCTGTCCCTGCTGGGTGTTGGGGTCTCTGTCGTGTGGTCCCTGAGCCCCGCTGCTGCTGCTGCTGCCCGCACCACGCCCAGGATGTCACGAAGCCGGAAAAAGAGGCCGCACGTGGGGTGGGGGTAACTTCACCCCCCCCACCCCCCGGGTAGGGGTGGCTCTCCGCCCCCCCCTCTCCCCGTGGGCGTGAATCTCCCCCCCGTGGGGGTGACTCCTCCCCCGACTCCCCCTCCTACTAAGTGGGGGGTGATTCCCCCCTCCCCCCCGTGGGTGTGACTCCACTTCCCACCTCTATGGGCGTGACTTTCTCCCCCCCCATCGTGGGCGTGGCTCTCCTCCCCCCCCCAGTGGGGTGACTCCTCCCCCGACTCCCCCTCCTACTAAGTGGGGGGTGATTCCCCCCTCCCCCCCGTGGGTGTGACTCCACTTCCCACCTCTATGGGCGTGACTTTCTCCCTCCCCCCCCATCGTGGGCGTGGCTCTCCTCCCCCCCATTGGGGTAACTCCTCCCCCCGCTCCCCCCTCCGAGTAGGGGGTGACCCCCCCCACCCCCCCGTAGGCGTCATTCATTTCCCCCCCCCCCCCCGTGGGCGAGACTCCCCCTCCCCCGGTGGGGATGACTCCTCCCCCCCACGCCCCCTCTTCGGGTGGGGGATGATCCCCCCCCCGCCCCCGGATGGGCGTGGCTCCTCTTCCTGTCCCCTCCCCCTGGTCGAGGTGACTCCTCCCTCCCTACCCCGCCCCCACCAACACCGCTGACGAAGCAGTGTGCAGGGCACAAGGGGCCGTCCATAAATGACGTCACGCTATTTTGGACGATTTTTGACCCCTCCCCCCACTCGTCACACGGCGTCAGAAAAAGTCAGACCCCCTCTCAATTATGACGTCACAAAGCTCTGCCCCCCCCCCCAAAACCATATTTACATTTTGAAACCATATTGCCATGTTCTTGGTTCTTTCGGTAAAGTCACCACGTAGAAGAGAAATAATAAAATTATAAAAATATTAAACAATAAAATTATCACGACGTTTCGACTGCAACACAAGCAATCATTACCACAGTTGTGGTGTTCACACCTGATGATGATTGCTTGTGTTGCAGTCGAAACGTCGCGATAATTTAATTGTTTTATATTTGTATTATTTTATTGTTTCCCTTCTACGTGGTGACTTTACCGAAAGAACCAAGAATATGAATCCCTGCAGTCACGAAAGCTTTAAATCATATTTCCATGCTTCAAATCGCAGCGCTTTGTGACGTCATATTTGAGAGGGGGTCTGACTTTTTGTGACGCCGTGTGGCAAGGAGAGGGGGGGGAGAGTCAAAAAATCGTCCAAAATCGCGTGACGTCATTTATGGACGGCCCTTAAAGGTGCACCACCGCAGCTGGTCAACTCGCGCCACTGCTGACGGAATCGCCTCCACCGGGGAGAGCCCTGGAGAGCGCCCTCTCGAGGGAGGAGTTTCTCAGTTTCATTTATTTTGGTAAAGCCCTGTGAGCCATTGGGCTCTTGAATCGGGTGCAACCGCAACAAACAAACAAAAACACGAACAAGAAAAACATCTTAAAGTGACTTGGTGCATGCGCAAACAGAAAATCCAGGAAAAAAAACCCATCAAAATATTCCTGAAATAGCACCGTACACGTATAGCTTCACCGCACCTTTGCACGCTTGCCAGACGTCTTGGAAGAGAAGCCACCCACACTTGACCTCACCACACCGCGACCTGGCGACTGCTGGTGGGATAGAGGCGGGGCCGGATTTGGAAACGTGGGCCTTAAATGGTCAAATAAAACAGAAGATATGAGAAATCGCGTCGTTGTTTCAACAGCCATTAACCGCGGCTTCGGGAGCCCTTCATCCAGCGGTGGATTGGCAGAGAAGTCTGTACGTGTGTGTGTAGTTGTGCCGTCCGTGTGTGATGTCGGACGGAGACGATGCTGAAGGTTTATCGCTCGTGCGCGCAGCTTCAGATAAAGCGCGGAACGCTGTATTACACCAAGTGACTGCGAGTGTTTTAAAGTGGCGTAACATTAACCGGTCGTTTTGTTGAGTTTCCCACACCTCCGATTAGCACGGGTTGCCCTACGTACGGTGCGAAAGAAGTTCTACACACATGGGAGGAGGAGGCGTGGTGGACCGATAAAAAGAAAATGGGAAAACTTCGACACATTTTTATGAGGCTCACAAGAACGTATGTTTTGTTTGCTTGCTGTAATGGGGGTGATGTAGAATTATTGTGACGGTGGTTTACCTTGCAAAGCGTCACCGAGGTGCACACAGCTTTTTCAGGCGAGTCATGCGGAGTTTTCACAGCAGGGGGCGATGAGTAATTTGTGGGTAATTTTTCAAGCGTGGCCCATGACGGCACGCATCGCCCCCCCCCCCACTTGCCATCGATGCCATGGGATCTTTAATGTCTGCTGTGAAGCAGACTGAACGGAGGTCGTGGGTTCGATCCCTACCATGAAGCCTGCTGTATATTTGGAGTTTGTACGGTTTTTTTGTGGTTGCGTGGATTTTTCTCCGGGTCCTCCGGTTTTTCCCTCCACATGTATAATTTACACGAGTTCAGAGTATTTGGCAACTGCTATAAATTTCCACGTGATAAGCCACTTTGTTGAGCTATCATTTGTGATGGCCAGGCCTTACCTGCTCAAATATTTTTTTTTTAACAAACCGCGGATGTCTGCAACAATCACCACGTCATGGGAAGTCATAAGTAATTACAATGTCACGTGGAATTTCTGCCAAAGCTCAGGCCCACCAAATCATTCGAATGGCTCACACGGTGAGGTTTATCACTAATGTCCGCACACAAACGGTAGGTGGCACTCGTGCCACGTGTTGAAAACTCCGCACGGAGTACAAACGAATCATCGGGCGTCAGTCCACAATCACTGCTTGAAGCAAGCCTCACTGCTGATGGGAAAATGAACGTGGAATCCGGTCCAGAGATTTTGCTCGTGTTAAACCATAGCTCCTGAATATTACGTACTCCCAAAAGGGCGTGTTTCTGATGGAATGTGTAACGAAAATACTTTCATGTTTTCTCATGTGGAGAGACAAATATGAGAAGGATGCGCATTGTGAACTCGTTTTTGTTTTTGCATCGAGCGGTGATGCGATGTCGATGCCGTTCCGCTCACGATTATCACGGTCGGCTACGTACGGCGCGAAAGAAGTTCAACATTACAACACACATACACTGAAATAATTTTCCAAACAGCAGCCAATCCCAAGGCAGCAGTCGACTCTTCTGTCCTGCCATCACGATTCCAGCGTGGAATTCCTGTACCCACATCGTCAGCCATGGTCTATGCCAGGGGTGGGCACATTTTTTGACTCGCGGGCCACAATGGGTTCTAAAATTTGACAGAGGGGCCGGGCCAGGAACAGATGGATGGAGTGTTTTTGTGAACTAATATAAATGACATGTAAAAATCATTACATGAAAGGATTTGGCCTTTTAACAGGTAGCAAAGCATTTATTTGCAAGGCAATTTAACAAATTGCACGAACATGAACAATACAAAAACATGTCGCAACTCCCAGTCAAAGTGCGCCATCTAATGGGGAAATGGAGGCATTACAGGAGAAAGGTAAAATTTAATTTAATAATAATATTTGGACAAGTTCGGCGGACCGTATTAAAAAGCCCACCTACTTTTCCCATGTCTGCTCTATGCACTGTTGAATGAGGCCCTCTGCAAATTCAACGCCACCACATAATTTGGGTCACTGAGGTCAGTTTCCCGCTGAATAAAAATGCCTTTATTTTCTACAAAAGCAGGTATCATGTAATTTGATATTGTCTGCAATCTGATCGATGGTACTGTACCTGCATATTTATGGTCAACGGTAGAAAGCAGTTTAACACGTGGGAGTAGGTTTTTGCGACCAATATCCATAATAGATCTTGTTTTGGGTTAGATCGCGTAAATAGAAATGCATCAGTAAAACCGCCACCACCCGACACAGCCAATTAGTAAGGTTTGTCACGTAAACAAAACGTGCCAATTAGGTACGAGTTCAGCACAAAAGTGTGTTGGAGAGTAAAACCCACGAACATTTACAATTCGAGTACCACACTTCTCTAAAACCAGCCGGCTCTTATGGTGGGCTCGTGTCTAACTATTTCAATGTTCAGTTCTATATGGTCCTCACAAACGATGTATATAAACATACGTGTAATCAGACGCTCATGGATCTGCAGTTCTTCAAATGAAAAACGAAAATTATCAAGGCCTCATCCGCGATCGGAGTGCTTCATGTACCACGATCGGAGTTCTTCATGTACCACGATCGGGGTTCTTCATGTACCACGATCATAGTTCTTCATGTACCACTATCAGAGTTCTTCATGTACCACGATCAGAGTTCTTCATGTACCACGATCGGAGTTCTTCATGTACCGCTATCAGAGTTCTTCATGTACCACGATCAGAGTTCTTCATGTACCGCTATCAGAGTTCTTCATGTACCACGATCAGAGTTCTTCATGTACCACTATCAGAGTTCTTCATGTACCGCTATCAGAGTTCTTCATGTACCACGATCAGAGTTCTTCATGTACCACTATCAGAGTTCTTCATGTACCACGATCAGAGTTCTTCATGTACCACGATCAGAGTTCTTCATGTACCGCTATCAGAGTTCTTCATGTACCACGATCAGAGTTCTTCATGTACCACGATCAGAGTTCTTCATGTACCACGATCAGAGTTCTTCATGTACCACGATCAGAGTTCTTCATGTACCACTATCAGAGTTCTTCATGTACCACGATCAGAGTTCTTCATGTACCACTATCAGAGTTCTTCATGTACCACGATCAGAGTTCTTCATGTACCACGATCGGAGCTCTTCATGTACCGCTATCAGAGTTCTTCATGTACCACGATCAGAGTTCTTCATGTACCACTATCAGAGTTCTTCATGTACCGCTATCAGAGTTCTTCATGTACCACGATCAGAGTTCTTCATATACCACTATCAGAGTTCTTCATGTACCACGATCAGAGTTCTTCATGTACCACGATCAGAGTTCTTCATGTACCGCTATCAGAGTTCTTCATGTACCACGATCAGAGTTCTTCATGTACCACAATCAGAGTTCTTCATGTACCACGATCAGAGTTCTTCATGTACCAC